CATATGCTAGATGTGTGATAATATGGACTATAATTTTAAAAACCAGAATTCTTGTTAAACCATTGCCATACAAACGGAAAAGCTATCAAATGAACTGTTTAAATACCATGTATTTTCATTTTATTAACCAGAATTATAGTTTCTTACAATAAATGCCATTACTATACAGTACTGTAATTTTACCAAATGGTCTAGAGATCAGGCCATGAGGTTGAAGGGTCCATCTCGATATCTTGACATAATTAATTTTTGGTGGTGCTAAATTGTTTTGATTCATTGTTACTCATGATTAATAAATTTTTAAAAAAAAATTCTTATTAGGGTGTATCATAAATTTTTCTAGAATCTTTTTGAAGTTTATCAAAACATCGTAGAAAAGAGGCCACTCAACATGAATGAGTCATAAATTTCTCTCTGATCTCCAAAAACATACCCAACCATTTTGCTTCATTAAGCGAAATTTTTAATATGTACTGAGACTCTTTTTGTAATTCATATTAATGTTAATAATTACCAAATTTTATGTATTTTAATATTTTTGAAAATATTTTTACTGAAAAGAATTACTATATCTTAAATAGCAAAATTTTATTTTGGTAAACTTTTATTAATTATTATAAAGATTAATGCCATACTTTTTCAGGCATATTCTAGTCTTTTTGACGTCTAAGTTCTCGTAAAATTCGCATTCAGATGCATTTCTTTTTCAATATACGTTTTTTCATTAGAACACAAAATTCACTTCAATATTTCTCAAACTGAGAAAAAAATTCTAGTAAAATTATCGTACTGCATAGTAATAGTGTTCTGGTCAATAAAACCTAAAAGTACGAAATTTAAACCATTCATTTTACAATTTTTCCGTTCATATGGTAACGATTATCCAAAAACTCTGCTTTTCAAAATTATAGTTCTTATTACTACACATTTAGTTAAAATTGCAAAGCTGAAAAGTAAATTTAACCGAATAAATCATTTCTATGCCATGCTTTTAAATATCGTGATAAAGTTACTAAATTTTATCATATATTATGAAAACAGGTTTTATTGTTGATTTTACTAAAATCATTACGCCTCAGTAAAATTTACTGAGATTTTTGATGTTCCTATACAGCCAAAAAGACTATAAATTTTACCATGTTCTGGTAGTTTTGATCATACATTTTTCCTCTCATTGTAATGCACATTTATACTAAGCATCACGACACATTAATTTACATGATATCGAGAATTTTGATACTTTTAAGCAACAAAACAATAACTGACGCTGAAATTCTTTAGTTTGAAATTCAAAACTTTCTTATTGATGCCTAATTCTTTATGGCTTCTTTAACACTAGAAAGACTAAAACTTAGTATATACCTATATTGCCCAAAAGCAGTCAAAACGTCTGCATTGTGAAAGAATAACTATGTAAAGAAATTTTTTAAATTAATTTTTAATATTTTTTGTATTATTTACAGTTATATAACAAATTATCAGTAACTATTAACGATAAAAAATTTACTTCACTTGGAAAGAAAATATTAATTTATACATTATTATTTGCACATTTCTTGTAAATGAAAAAGCAGTCAAAATGATTTCCTTTAGGCATCCTAGCGTTAATTACAACCCATTTATGCATTTTTTCCTCTTTAAAAAAGTTGTTTTATAATTCAGATTTATTAATTAAATTTATCAATCAAATCAGACATTTAGAGTTATCAATTAAATTTATACTAATTTCTTACAGAAATTCAAAATTTACAATATATAAAATTTAGAAAGTGACCATAACTTTCTGAAGCAGCATTTTACATTTTTTCACAATATAATTTGCTTATGGATTTAGATGTCAATTTAACTACAAAATAAGTTGCCCTAAAGTATTTATAAAATAAATTTTTCCGAACACATGCTTTCTCCTTTAAATAATTCATAAAAGAAATAACAAATCAAAGCCTCTTTTGCATTATATAATTAAACTAATTACGAAAAAAACGTAGAAAGATTTTAATTTCGTAAAGAATTACAGATGAGCAATACAATTCTTTATTTCAAAGAAGAAAATCATTTATAATGCAATAGTATTTTTTCATGTTGAGAAAAATCTAGAAATGAAATACTATTGTCTATATTTAAAGGTTAAAAATTCCATATTGTTCACCACTCACATTTTTATAAATAAATCATAGATAAAACAATGCATTTTGAGCTTAGGTTATTTAAAAAAAAAATTCACAGAGAAGATGCGCTTTTCTGTCACCATAAAAGGCATATATAAAAGAAAAGAAAGGGGTAGAATGTTTTTGAAGAATCACATGTCTAGTAGAATTCAATAATTGCCTTAGCCTCACGTGGAATAAATAAATGTCAATTCATAATATGCTTCCAGTAAAATATCGAGATTTGTCAGTTTAGGTTATAAATAGTTCAGCCGTATCAATGGTTTCGAAAGATCTCAATATCATTTTCATTGCTGGGAAAGGAAAAAAGTTTCCAAAGGTTACGAAACGTTCATACATTAGAAAGTATTTTAACTGCCGAAATTTAATTGCTTTAAATTTCAAAATTGAATTATAAGTCTTCATTAAATTAAAAAATATAAATTATTTGATGTGTAAGGCTTTATAATTATTTTAAAAATTAAAATTATTCTTATAGTATTATTGCTAAAAGTATGAATATTTTATTAAAAATAAATTTTAAATTATCCCCTTTTTATACACATATTATTTTTAGTTGTGTAAATAATTAGAATCTTTTTCAATATGTCTCATAAAAATTTTAAACATGGAGAAGATTTTTGTACAATTTTTAAATTAAGTAACAGCATATAAGAAATTTAAAATTAGTTTTAAAGAGAAATGACAAAAAACTGTATCTGTGCCCCTTAATATATTTTATAAAACAAAGACTTGTACAAAAAATGTAATGTAAGACAGAGTTTATAAGTTCAAATAACGATCTTAACTATCTGAACACCAAAAAGGGGGACAAATACTTTACATATCAATGATAGTTTAAAGTAAATCACCTAGAATGTTCTTTTACAATATAATTCGTCCGCCAGAATTTGGCACTTCGTTCCACCTCTTCGGGCGAAGAGTTCATTTCAGCACGGGAGTAAGAGGAGAAACATCTCCGCGCTGGAAATTGAGACAACCCTTAATGCGCGTCAAACGCTAACAGTGAATTCTTTATCAGTCACTTACTTCGCTTCATTATCTGCTATTATACTTTTCGTTACTCTAGCTAATTAAATATATTGTAGCAAAATATCTCAAAAAGGACAAACTATTCACTCAAAAGAGAGAAATATCATAAAATTTATGAAATATTTAATGTTTAAAAAAATGCGTTTAAAGATTGCGAAATAAATATTTTTGTCACACAATTGCCAAATACCAACCTTGTTCAGGATTGTTCGCATCCTTCCACCGAAAATAGTGAAATAGTATCGTCTGATACCACGTGATGAAGGCGGAGCCAAGTGCCAACTCCTGGTGAACGAACTATACTTGATGTAGAGTAGCCGCTACCATGTATGTTATTCAGTAACACTAAAATTTATAACTGCAGTAAAGTATGATACACAAACAAGTTACTTTTACGATGCAATCTAAATTTATGAGACCAAGAATCATAAATTTAGGATGCATATATACAATGTATTTAAAAACGAAATTAGTTTGTTAATCAAGCATTCACACAGCACAAATAGAATATCAATATAAGAATTCGAACGAAACCGAAGTGAATCGAAGTTAAATATAATAAAATATTTTATACAATTGGCAGATTTATGTAAATCTCATTAGAACATAATATATTTATTATGTAATTAAAAACATACATACATTTTCTAACAGTTTGTAGTATGAGTATAGTTTGTCCCATCAATCTGACGAAAATTCATAAAAATATTTTTTATAAACCAGTAGAAAGGATTGAAACTTACTGAGTATTAAATAGACTGTGTCCAGTTAGTTAATTAAATCCGACAAGAAGAACTAATTTTTCACCAGTCCACTTGATGTAAATAAACCACCATCTTTACCGCCATATACTTAATATCTTGAAATTGCACAAGTATTCACTTTTAAACTTCTAATAATAGCCCAAAAGCAATTTTTATACTTTTAAAACATGTCCGATTATCATTTCGCAGACAAATTTAGTTAAATATTTTAAATATCCACTAATTATTTGATAAATTTATTTAACTCCTAAAAACACAGCTTTCTCAACGAACGGCAGATTGGTGTAAGATTTATGAATTAAAAAGAATTATTGGTGCTAGGATTTAAAAAAGAAAAAAAAGAAAAGTTTAAGAACTCTCGATTTGGTATTAACTTGAAATAAAATAATCATTCCCACAATATTTTGAGTTTTTGAGTTTTTCTACTCTAAATTGGGATGGGAACTACACCATAGTTTTTTCAGTGAAGGTGGATCATGGGTTAAATTTCACATGTCGGTGGACTAACCGTTGGAGTTTTTTAGGTTTTTTCTTTTGACGTGATGCGAATTCGGGATAGTATCAAAAAGTCGACCCTGAAGATGGTTTTGTCCAAGTGTTCCCTTGTCTTTTGGGATTCAAAATCGCAGAGTTTACAAAGGGAATATTGATATAACGATAAATATTACTAGGATTTGCTGTTTAACACTGGTTATCAGATAATGTAGAATAGTAATGCTTTTTTTTCTTCTAAACAAGTCGTTTAAGACCATTACCTCATTGGACTATCCTACTTCTCTTTTCGTTAAGATCAGTGGAAAAATTTAAATTTAAATATTGCTTTAACATGAATTAATTTATGAAAGTTATTAAATGTTATTTTGTGGTAAAACTTTATTTACGTGAAGCTGCATCAATATTATTATAATTTATATGCTGACCGAAATAACGTATATAGCCTTGAGAACGAGTTCAACGAAATAAAAAAATTGAGATTAATGTGGCGTATTAACTAAAACAGAATACTGTCAAAACTAATTGTGACCTTCTGTTTACATCGCTTCATTCATAAATATATATCGAAGAAGCATTTTGTCATTTTTACAAGAAAGCAATCGTAGAAATTGTGACGCTGGCGACACATTTTCGCCACTCAACATAATTTTCGAATAGCTAAGTTTAAATTTCGCAGTGATCCTCAGCCCGACACTCATTGCTGAGAAACTGTTGTAAGTAAGTTTAAATTATACTATTAAATCACCCAGGGTATAAAAATTTCAGAGATTTGTTTATTTTTATTATAAAAAAACAATTTTATTGATTATTTCCAAATAGTAAAAGATTTAATATTATTTCTGAGGGAAAATTTAAAATTGTCTTAACTAAATTTATTTCTACCATTTAACAAGTACTGCTGGTTATTTGAATATTTTTCTTTCTTGATCACTTTGTTTCACTCCTTTTAATTTTAGAACAATTTGTACAAAAAACTAAAATGGATAATTGCTAATCGAAAATCTTATATATTTTTAGTGGATCAAAAATTGTATATTTTAAAAGTTTTACTTTGTTTTATCTTCAATAAATATGTTTTTACATTATGATACGTAATTTTTCTCAAAAAATAAATGAACAAATTTTATAATATTTTTTTTTGGAAATTTTGTTTGAATTTATATATCTTTTTAAAAAATAATAAAAAAGAAAATATGCAATTTTCAACAATAAAAAAATTGAAACCATCACTTAGAAATTTTTAAAAAAATAAAAATTTTCGCTTGAGCTTTGCGAATTTTTATGCTTACATGTTAGAGCAATTTAAAAGAATATATTCGTACAAAATGTATCTGTTCAATACAAAAATGTATCTGGCTCCTATTGAAGCTTCACAGCATTGAAATAGACTACGTTTCTGAATATGATTAAAAATTTTGAAAAAAAAATATTCTACAATCTCAGAAAGATTACTGAAACATAATTTTGACAATATTTCTTTTTGGTTGATAATGAAGTATTACTCGAATGTTATTTTTCAAACATATTTCATATACATTTCAGATATATTTTAAAGAAATGAAAGCGATTTTAAATAAATAAGCATATATTACATATATTATCAAGGATATGTAATTGTATAATAACATATATTATGCATAATTAAATCGAACATATATATAATTAAAACTATTGACATCTAAATTTGTAATTTTTCTTACAAATTCAAAAACATTATTTTTGTAAAATAGAACCATGTTGATATAGAAAAAATATCATGGTTAAAGATTACATTAACTATTTTTTTTACATTAACTATTTTTTTTTTACATTGATTTACATTAACTATTTTTTAGAGTATTTCTACAAAAGCTTCGAATGCTTCTAGTAGAATTAGCATTAGTAAAATCATAATAGACTTAGTAAAATCATCTAATTGTCGAAAAATATTTTTGTTTAAACATATGTTTGTGATTTGTTGTTTACATTTTTATCAATACAATTTTGCTGAAAGTTTGTAAGCTAAGTTTTGTAAGATAAGTTTGATTAAGTTTGACTTTTCCTTTCTAAATAAGAAAATCTACTTAACAATTATTATTTTATCTCATAAATTAGGGATGTATAAATTTTTATTCTTTTCCTTTCTCAATAAATGCAACAACCAACTTTTCATTTCCATACAAATGTGCAAAGTGCAAAATATAAAAACATATATATCTTCCTGAATAATTTTAGTTCTAATGATCAGATTTTCTCGATCTAAGCTGCGATTATAATGATTCAAAAATGCATCCTCAAAAGTGCAAATTGAGTCGTGCTTAATATTAATTAAGTTACAGAATCAGACTATTTTCACTACCAAACTATTGAGGGGAGTAGCCGTGATCAGGAACATATAGTCCCGATAGTATGATCAGGAGAACTATATAATAATTTGGATGCTTTAATATTACGCTTCACTTATTTCTGAAAAACACTACTTAAATTGGTCGAACAGTTCATGAGAAAAAATTCTTCAAAAATTTTTACTTTTTTAAAATTTTGTAACTCGATACTATATTTCGCACGAATTTTATATTTTGTCATATAAAATTACACAATTAAAAATTATGTAAAAAATTGTGTACCTAACAATTCAATATTTTTTTCGATACTCATAGAAAATTCCATGAACAAAATATTAAAAATTATTTTTTTCATGGAATTTTCTTTCAATAAACGAATTTTATAATTGAGTACAAAAATTTTTTGACACTCCTTAAAACTTCACACGCTATGGCTAAATATGCTAACTGTGAAATTAACGTTTTTGGACCCCAAACTTGCCGAAACTAAAGGCCTCGATTGCCTTGTAAAGTAGCGTCACTCTTTTCCTTGCGACCTTTGTGCCGTTTTCGATTTTAATTGGCTGTCGCCGATCACATGGTTAAACACTCACCATTTTGTTGACTAGATAAATGGACTCCAAACTATACTATTGGGACTCAATATTCCAAATTGTGGCCACCGCCATCTTTGAAGGTGAAAGTTGAAAAAAAAAGTATGTTTATACAGAATAGTGTTTGTGTTTATCATTTAATTAATAGTTAGCATTAATAATTACCATATTTGCGGTCATAATTTTAAATTAATGTGATTGGCTCCGATTATTGGATTAAAATTTATTCAATGTGTTATCTTCATCATTTCTCACGTTGTACAGCAAATTACACTGGGAAACAAATTTTTCGTTGTATTTATAGAAGTAACTTGATCTTGACTAAGTAAGGTGTGAGAATTTTATATCTAAAATTAGTTTTACTGTTAAAGCTAAAAAATATTTCCTTAAATGCCTTTAGTCAATTTTTTGGCGAAATATACAAGTTTTAAAACGTTATAAATAAAAGGAGATTGCTTAAATGTTACGACAAACTTCAAAGAGATTAAGGCACATCAACAAACCAAAATTGTATAGAAACCCCTGTTCAAAAATTTCTAAGTATGCGGCTTGGGGAGCTTCCCTAAAGAAGTTTCCCTCCCTTAGAAGTTTGTCACAACATTTATGTGATAATGTTGTAGGGTGTTTTTAAACCTATTCATCTCGATTAATGACTAAAAATGTCATTTAAAAGAAAACTTTAGTTAGGAGGGAGAAACTGAATGTAGATTCAAAATCAGTGTTACAAAAGTATTTAAGATTTGTTAAAAAGTCTCATGCAACAGAAGGAAAATGTGTTTCCCAGCGTAATTCTTCAATGTTAGGACAAATGAATAGGATATAAATTTTTTTTATTTAATCTTCATCGATTCTACCGTTATATTAAAGAAAACACTAACAGGTTAACTTCAATTTTTAATTTCAAATCAAAGAATTTTTTGACGTTCCTGTTCAGCTAAATATATTTTAAACGGCTAATTAATTCTCGTTTATGGTTGTTTTGACTTTTAGCAAACTCATTTTAGATAAAGCGCCAACAATGAATCTCAGAAGCTTCGATTGATAGTCACTTTTGATCAGTCACTCCTTATATAGCTCTCAGATAGATTTATTTTAATGTCAGCAACAACCTTTATCACAAGGCATAAAAAGGTTTATAAATGATTAGCAAATAAAGCCACGCAAACTTGAAACAATGTTAAGTTTAACGAGGCTAGTTTATGTGCTATGAAGTTCGCATTATTCTTGCATAAACTACCCTTATTGAATCTGCCGGCTAGAAAAACCTTCCGAATTCGAGGATGAATTGTCATTCGCAGTCATCAGAGTAGAAAGCGATTTCAAACAAAGAATAAATTCGCATTATTTTAGATTTTATAACTATCACCGAATCCAGGTTTAAAAGATCTGTCTTTTATAAACTATCTTTATCACTTTAAATAAAAAAAATTAGTCTGATCATTAAGTCTTAAACGCAAAAAAATGCTGTATTTAACTAGGAAGTAAAATAATCTGAAATAATCTTCAATGAGGCATGCAGCATTCTTTAAAATAAAATGACTGGATATTTGATTCGATAATAGACTTAATTTTTCAACAAATATGTACAAATTAATTCGGTTCTATTGCCATTATGGTTAATTTGAGAGTGCGTTATATATGTTCTCTATCTTTTTCGGATAGGAATAACAGGAATATTCTTCCTCACTACATCATTTTACATTATTTAAATATCGTCTAAGTATAATTAAAAATTTCTAAAACTTACAATTCAAAGGTTCCGATCACCTTTACATAAAAATTAATAGTTTTATCCATTATAATAAATACTAGGAGGCTCCGCCCCCTGCTCGCTAACGCTCGCCAACCCCCGAGAATTGCTACCCAATCCTATGTGGTTCACGCAGTGAACCATGTCTCGCTGCGCTCGCTCGCCAATGAACACAATGTTCTAGCACAAAGACATAATATATTATCATCNACGGGAGGGAAAAGAAATAAAATCAAATATATATGATAAGACCTAAACATTATTGAATTTAATTATCTAAATAAGAATTTATACAAAGTCTTATAATATTTTATTTCTCTAGCAATGCTTATTTTTATCTAAAGAAAAGTTTATAGTTACATAATTTAAAAGCGCACATGAAGTGCCTTGTGTTTATCGAATATATTTCATAAAATCAAATATATTTGATTAATTTTTGAATAATGGTTGATTGGTGGAATTTGTCTTATGCACATAAATATCAGAAATCATAATTGTTCAAAAAAAAAAAGTTAATAATTATATTTATTTTAAAATAAATACTTTCGTTTTAAAATGCCTTTCTTCTTGATTCAGAATATTTTATTTTTTAATTATATTCACTCACAGAATATTAATATTCACTCCCTGGTGTCCATGAAAAGGACATAAGAATAGCTATCTTCTTTTAAAATTAGGTTTTATGTCTTTTGTTATCCATAAAAATCATAATAATGCATCCAAAATAAATTTTCCTTCTTTTCGAAACTACTAAAGTTCAAAATTTCATATAACATGCAATAACTGTATTTTCAAATCTATTTTCGCTTCAAATCCTGTTTTTGTTTGACTAACTTTCTGTTTTTACAACGATGAAGACATCAAGAATCGTCTTAAAGAAGGTTATATTTTATTTTTTCAGAAAAATATATTCTTTTCTAATTCAAGGAAACTTTGAATCGTCTTTATAGTTCTTGAATAGCTGGTTCAGTAGCAATTACTAAAAATATACGTTTTATAACAATAAAATTAAAGATAATTAATTACTATTTTCTCTAATCATTATTTTTCGAGCTCGTGAAAATTTAAGAAATAAAGCACAGTTTTGCATGAATAGCGTAATAAAATCTCTTACTTACTTATTATTATATTTAAAATAAAGAAAATTTGAAAACCTAAAATTTCTGCAATTTATTTAATTCCAGTAACACAGGAATCAAAATACATCGCTTATTTAATTTTTATGTAAATTTTAAAGAAGTTGGACATTTGATATTGTTGGTAAAATACTACAAATATGTGTATGAAAGTTACGAGCAATAACATGTTTTGGCCATTCGAGCCGTAGTTTTGTTAGCAGTTACATCATGAAAAAGCCACGCATTTTCGCTGGCTCCCGATATTTTACCAGGGATTCTGAAAGGGAATCCCTGGTATATTCGGTTGCAAGAATATCCTTAACTTAATCAAATGCCATTCAAACGGGAAAATTTAGAAATAATGACTTGTTCAAAAACATGTCGCCGTTCATTCTATAGCGAATTTTTGGAATTTTCTTAATGAGTATTTTTCTGAGAATTAATAATTGGCATTCTGACTTCTCATGACTTTTTGAAAAAGAACGATTTCTACGTTTTGAAATTGATAAAATAATCTCTTTTTATCTATAAATTAATAAAGAAGGACTCGTATGAGACATTCTAAGATGAAAACAATAAAATAAAAATGTAACTTTTACGTGTTTTAAGTAAGAAAAATAATTATATTTTTTATTTAATTAAATACCCTAGGCGCATCATTTTCGCAATAAACTTCTGTCGGCACCAACATTTTCAATCACATCTTTCAGCGATGTGTCATAAATTTTTCGTTTTAAATACGATGGAAATAAAAGTGTGCATTTGTTGCATAATGATTATGTAATTACTTCGAATTTCCTCTTATCACAAATTTTCATCTGTTTTAAGAAAAAATACTTTATCTTTTCGGAACTGAAATATCAATTCTGATATCTAAATTCAATAATATTTTTAATGTTTAGATCAAATCAACACTTTTAACGAATTTTTCATTAGATGACATAAATTGATTTTTAATAAAACTTCTAAGAAAACAGACTAGTTTATTTTTTATGCGAGATTCATTTGATTTCGAATGCAATGTGTGGAAATTTTATGTACGCATTATACAAAAGATTTATTGAGGATTTCTTTGAACTGTGTAGATTTCTGACCGAACTCTTCCTCAAATGATAAAATGTAAATATATAGCCTTATTTTTTTAAAAATAAAAGTAAAGAAATTGCGCAGAGTAAGTAAAAAAGAAAAAAAAATGAGAACTTTGGAAAAAAACTTTTATCTCTAATATGGTCCATATTTGTGCAATCACCATTTATGTGTCAAAAATCAAAATAATTCACAGTAATTCTCACGCGAAATAATCCAAATGCTTAAGATCCAAAGAGCCTGAGAGTCATCTTTTAGCAGAAAGTTGTCATCAATATTAGACAATGTTTAAGGAGTATCAAGAAAATCCATCTTACTGATATCATTTATATTCGCCTCTGTTCATAGTTATCAGGCTAGACTGAGCTTCAGAAATTTTCCCAAAATTTCATTTTTATGATCATCAAGTTTTAACTTCTTAATCATTGAAAAACAATCATGTGCTCGATAAAGCTTCACAAATTATAATTGAATATGCTTTAACATTAGTTCCCAGAGTGTAAAAGATTTCTTAGACTGGACAAATCATAAGGCAATAAAAATATGTTTGCATCAAAAATATAAATTTTATTAAATGCATAATAAATGGAAAAAGAAAAGTTATTCACAATATCGTTCATAAATTGGATTCAGATCATTCTCAACAAAATCTTATAGTCTCACATACACGATATCATATAATAACACAATCATCAATCAATCATTTCGTGGGTTATAGGATTGTTCATGAACAAAATACTTTTCATCAGAAAAAAACAATTTTATTTCCGTGAATTTCTTTTTAATCCTTTCATTGTATTTATTAGTCTCTTTTTATGTTATAAATTATTAGATACTAGTATTTTTGTTTTATTTGGTGATTACGGAGAGGTTATTAGAAAAGACACCTGCACTGGACCCGGTCTCTTTAAGTCTGATGTGCCTGTTCCCTTTTTTAGGTCTTTTATGGATAATTTTGACCCAAAAAAAAAAAAAAAAGAATGCGCAATTATCACTGATACTGCTCACAATAAAAATAATTTAAAATAATTCGCACCTAAGATAATCCAAGTATTAAGATTTTAAGAGCTTGTGGTCCATTCATTCTTAGACAGGAAGTTTTCCCCAATATTGGATAATATTTAAAGAATATCAAAAAGCATCACATTGCTATTAACCACATCTCCACCCCGCACCACATTCGGCAGTGTTCGTAGTTTTTAGAACGATCAGAAGAAATTAGAAAAGACTGGGAAATATACTATATTAGTTGAGGAAATGACAAATGACAAAATATATATATATATAGATCAGAAACCGTCAAGCTGACCATGAAAAGTTTTGGAAATTTCCCCCTGCAGCAAAAATATGAGTTGATTTTAAAGAAATCCTTGTTTCTAGTTTTTTATAAGCAAACTTGATAGTAGTTGCCAATTGTTAAAAAAAAAAATTTAAGCAAAATGTAGCTTTCTTTAGATTTTATTATTTTCATAATAAACTTTTTTAAAATATCAACTTACTTTTACGATTCTTAAACCAATATATTAAACTTTCATGTAAATTATAATGTATTTGGATCACTTATTTGTTTTTTTAGGATATTAGTTTTTCATCCGATTGAATGTGATTTAAAGAAATAAAGCATATTTTATCTCTTAAAAGATGGAAAAAAAATGCTAAATGAAAAATTCTTAAGAGATGTTATTGAAAAGATAAGCAATTTAAAAACACATTTAATATAAATACTAATTTAAACTTCAATGACACAGTTTGTGTCATACACCCCTGTATTTTTTGCTCACCCCTGTTGTTGATTTGCTAAGAAGCAATCATTTCCCCGAAAGCTCTTTAGGGCCAATAAAACGATATCAAGAGGTCATCAGTTCATAATCTGATATCGTGTTGTTCATAATATTAATATAAAAGCACCTTAATTTTATTCATTTTTTTGACAGGAAGCATTTATCTAGATGGATTCTAAGAAGAAAAAACAGTGTATTGTAGACGGAGATCATCGCTTGGTAAGTATTAATGATTCATGTATTTTCTATCTTCAATGACTTTTCTCTCATTTTTATTTATTCTTTCATAACTTTATTGTTATTTTTATTTATTATTGCTATTACTTTTACTTGTTATCTTTTATTTACTTTTTATTATCTTTATTTTTGTTACTAGTTTTAAATAATATCGTTTTTATTTACTTTTATTATTTTTATTTATTATTATTTTATTTATTTTTTTATTATTGTAATTATTTTACCATTATGCACTTGTCCCGCAGTGGACTGGTCGTAAAGACACGGTTCCCAGTAGAACACCAAAGTCAAGCATCACTTGCTGCTGTCAGTAAGAGGGTGGGTGACAACTTTGATCAGCCTATGTAGGGACCGAGGGTGCGCGATATCGGTCCTCGGTAAACTGTTCTACCGTAAAGTGCTTGACTTCGCGTAGGTCATCGAGCTACCAAAGCGGAGGAGCTATCTCCTTTACAGAGGGTCAAAATTGTGAAGGCATATGTTCGGATCATCCTCAGGGATGTTTCCCAGACCGTCGCCAATAGCCCATAGTGCAGCTTTAGTGCGACGTAATAAAATACCTACCTACCATTATGCATATTAAATTTATAATGGAAATAAAGAAAAAGAAATAATTCCTGCAAAAGCAATGTAGTGAGAGGAAAAACTAGCATATTTTTGCAAAAAAATTTAATTTTATTTAAAATATATAATAGCTTTGTCCTAGTTTAAATATTTAATATTATATAAAAGTTTATAAACTAATCTGATTATTATTAAATTTGAGTAATTCTGTTAGTTAATCTCATCTAAGACCTAATAGTCGTTTACTTGCTAAATGAAATTTGAAAGCCATTTAAAAAAATCAATTGCACATATCTACATTATGATTTGCAATACATGAGAACAGCATGATAAAAGAAGCATTGACTCATCCACCCTCTAGGAGTTGACAACCTAACTAAAATGACATCTAAAGTAAAGCATTGCAGGTGGTCAACTTACGCAGATTTCAATGAATTAAGAAATAATNAATAAAACGATATCAAGAGGTCATCAGTTCATAATCTGATATCGTGTTGTTCATAATATTAATATAAAAGCACCTTAATTATATTCATTTTTTTGACAGGAAGCATTTTTCTAGATGGATTCTAAGAAGAAAAAACAGTGTATTGTAGACGGAGATCATCGCTTGGTAAGTATTAATGATTTATGTATTTTCTATCTTTAATGATTTTTTTCTCATTTTTATTTATTCTTTCATTCCTTTATTTTTATTTTTATTTATTATTGTTATTAATTTTACTTGTTATCTTTTATTTATTTTTTATTATTTTTATTTTTGTTACTAGTTTTAATTAATATCGTTTTTAGTTATTTTTATTAGTTTTATTTATTATTATTTTAATTTAGCTTTTATTATTGTTATTATTTTATCATTATGCATTTGTCCCGCAGTGGACTGGTCGTGAAGACACGGTTCCCAGTAGAACACCGAAGTCAAGCATCACTTGCTGCTGTCAGTAAGAGGGTGGGAGACAACTTTGGTCAGCCTATGTAGGAACCGAGGGTGCACGATATCGGTCCTCGGTAAACTGTTCTACCGTAAAGTGCTCGACTTCGCGTAGGTCGTTGAGCTACCAAAGCGAAGGAGCCATCCCCTTTGCAGAGGTCAAAATTATGATGGCATATCTTCGGATCATCCTCGGGGATGTTTCCCAGACTGTCGCCAATAGCCCATTGTGCAGCTTTAGTGCAACGTAATAAAATACTTACCTACCATTCTGCATATAAAATTTATAATGGTAATAAAGAAAAGGAAATAATTCCTGCAATTGCAATGTGGTGAGAAGAAAAACTAGCATATTTTTGAAGAAAAAATTTAATTTTATTTAAAATATTTAATAGCTTTGTCCTAGTTTAAATATTTAATATTATATAAACGTTTATAAACTAATCTGATTAATATTAAATTCACGTAACAAATCGCAATTTATTCTGTTAGTTAATCTCATTTAAGACGTAATAGTCGTTTACTTGCTAAATAAAATTTGAAACCCATGTAAAAAAATTAATTACACATATCTTCATTATGATTTATAATACATGAGAACAGCATAATAAAATAAGCAGTGACTCATCCACCAATCTATGAGTTGACAACCTAACTAAAATGACATCTAAAGTAAAGCCTTACAGGTGGTCAACTTACGCAAATTTCAATGTATTCAGAAATAATATTAAGGAAGAAATCCTTAGGAACAGTGAAGAAATGTCAAAACTTTTTAAATTTTAGTTTTCTAGCTAGGATTAATGACTTTTTATCATTTTTCTTCACATAATCGTTGATGGTTCTGTTTTATCACTTATGAATCATTGAATTGTTCTGTTATCATATGAACATCTTAGTAATGTGATGAGTAATAAGTCTTGACTAGTTAATGACATATCACTTTATTAGAAATAAGATTATTACTTGTTGATGGTGTACAATCTTATTTAAGTTAAACATATTTCATTTAGATTAACTTGCTCTCAAGGCGTTAAATTGTTAAAAATCACTCTTGCTGATATTATAAATGTAATTTTTTTTCGTTTCAAATATTCTTCTAAAATTTCGTAAAATAAAATTTCTTTTTTAAATGTAATTCTTCAAAAATTAATTCTCTTTTCTTTCAGAAGTAGCCTCTTAGTTAAAACCATTTTGAGATTTAAAAAAAGTAAAATAAGTTCACTTAAAAAGGAAATTAAGCTAAATTTCAAGTCAAAAATAAATACAGTTAAGAGATGCATACATCTTTCAAAGAAGGAATGCAAAGTGATGTATAAGTAAGACCAAATAACACAAAATTTAATGAAAATTTATTTTATAAGTAATAATTTTATTTATATTATGGTCCACTGTGTATATAATTTCAGAACGCTAATGATAATTTGAAATTTAGTTATAAACTTTTATCATAAAAAAGAGATGAATCAAAAATCATTCAAAAGTCGTATTGAATGTGTATCTTACAAAGATATCTATGAATCAAAATAAACGATGTAAATTAGTACTGTAAATTAATGAAACTTTTTACTGTTTCATTTCGCTTTATCAGTTACGCATTATATTATTAAACATAACTAGTAACCAAGGAAGTATATTTTAATAGCTTATCTACATGATGACTCTGTGCCAAGTTATGTTTTTCGACAGCGACATCTTTTGGAGATTCTGATGTCAATACAACTCCTTTTTTTAGCAATCATAACAATAAAAACAAATTCAAAATAAACTTAAAAGTATTAGCAAAATAATAAAAGTAAAAAATATATTCGAAATCTTTAGAACAATCTTTAAGATGTGTAAGATCTTAAATTACTCAGTCTTTAAGATATTAAAATTTTTTGGATAACTCAGTCTTTGAGATACTCACAGAAGATGTTTCGAATTCTAGATTTCAAAACATAAAATGTCTCTTTTAGAAATGTTATAGAGTGTCTCTTTTAGAAACATTATAGAACGTCGATTTTAGAAATGCTTATAGTTCAGACTTTCAGATGTTTTGCTGATATAAGTTGACCTTCTTAAGGGAGTAAATGCAAAACAAAAGCTACTACACACCTTTTCTAAAGACATACACCGTAAAGCCATTACATTATGACCACCCTCCATCTATAGCAGTGGCCTCGCCCAGGTTTTCATGGTTTCTTACCCAGGAACAATGTTTTCATGGGGCACATTAGGACCCATAATCCTCATAGAACAATCCCTGACGTCTGTAAGCTACTTGAACATAGTTGCAGACCAGGTTCACCCATTCATGGCAACAGTTTTTCCTGCGGGGGATGGTGTTTATCAACAGGATAATGCACCATGTCATAAGGGTCGAATCGTCATGGATTGGTTCGAGGAACATTCCAGTGACTTTCAAGTCATGTCTTAACCCCCAAATTCACCTGACCATAATCCAATAGAGCATTTGTGGTCCTACTTGGAAAACCAAATTCGTGCTACCACGCTACCTCCTCGCAATGTGAGAGAATTGCTGGACCAGTTGGTGAGCGCTCGGTACCAAATACCTCAGACTACCTATCAGCACCTTGTGGAATCAATGCCACGGCGGGTGCTAGCAGTTTTGAGGGCTAAATGTGGTCCTACATGTTATTAGCAGGGTGGTCATGATGTAATGGCTCTTCGATGTATATTGGTAGATGCATTATAGTTCAGATGATCATGAGAGGCCGATTATTTTTCTTTTGGATCTATTGTAGATTGTTTCTCATCAGAAGTGTTATTGGTAAAACTTTATTATCATGATCATCACCTGAGATACAGTGGCGCTCACGTACTTAAGGACATGTCTTTATGAAAAGTAAAATCCAAAATTTAATGTTCACGCATAAGTTTATTGAATTGATAATTATGTATTGGAACAAATAACTTATTTTTAATATATTTTCACAATGAAAATCATTTATCTAACTGTTATACTTAAATTATGTAACATTACAGAAAAAATATGCATTCCGCATACTTAAGGACAGCAAAATAAATATTTCTTAATCGTTAATAAAATTAATAATAATATAAATAATGTAACAAAAAATAAAGATTTGGAGCTATTATTTAGTCGGTAAGCCTTTTGCGGCAATTACTGCTTCACATCTACGAGGCATCGAATCTATTAATCTTAGACATCGCTCAGGAGGTATTGCTCAGGAGGTTCTTGGACACAGTTCCATAAATCACCTAAATTTTTTTGGTTTTTGCTATTTCACATATTTATCCACATCTATCCACATCATCTCGATCGGGTTGAGATCTGGTAAGTGGGAAGGGCAGGGCAAAACCTCAATTTTCTTGCTTGACAAGAAGGCCTTCGCAGTTTTGCTCGTGTGCTTTGGATCATTATCGGCTTGCATGATTGGTTTTCTTGAGCGAAGTTTCCTGTAATAAGGCAGAAAAACAGTCTTGATAATGTCCACATACACATGCTGATCCATGATGCCTTCGATTTTGTGAATTGGACCACATCGTGAACGTGTCATGGCACCCCACACCATCACCGAGCCGCCTCCACCTTTTACAGTTGATTTTGTACACCGTACATTAAATTCTTCACCGACTCGACGCCTCACATAACTTTTGCCATCTGAGCCCATTCTGTTGAACTTCGATTCGTCTGTAAATATAACTCGATTCCAGTCAGCCGATGTCCAGTTTCGGTGTCTTTTTGCAAAAGCTAATCGAGCTGCTATATTCTTCTTTGACATCAACGGTTTTTTCCTACATACGCGACCCATAAGCCGAAACTCATTTAAAAGCCATTTGATGGTATTATTTTTTACGTGCTTGCCTGTTAATTCAGCGAATTCTTTTTTGATGTCCGGGATGGTTTTGTGACAATCAGCTTCAAAAATTCAATGAATAATGCGATCTTCTCGTTCGGTAGTTTTGAGAGGACGTGGTTTTCGTGATGCTTTTTCAATACTTTTGGTCACTTGAATAGATTTCAATACTTAGAAAACTGCTGTTTTTGATAATTTTAACCGCCCACCAATTTCTCTAAGGCTTAAACCTTCTTTTCTCAGAGTATCTATTCGACATCTCTGTTCATTGCTAACATTTTTACCTTTACTCATAATAATGTTGAAATTTGTACAAAAAAAATAAAAAAAATTATTAATATAATGTTTTAAAGCATCAAACAAAGATAATGTAGTAAATTACACTTACATTGATCAATAAATTGATTGTAATCATTCAATAACTCATGATTAGACAAACTGTCCTTAAGTATAAGAAACTTAGCAAAATATATTTTTTAAAAAACTTTTTATGAAACACTTGTGAACACGAATGAATTATTTGAGGATTGAAGTTCAACTAAGGTAGAATTCGTCATTATAGTTGATAACTTGATCAAAACATAATATTCATCCAATATAATGACGCATTCATTTTGAAAACACGTCCTTAAGTACGTGAGCGCCACTGTATGATGTTATTCTTTTACTATTACAAAATGTTGACAATTTCTCTTTAGAATGCTGTTGTTTTCAGCAAGGAATTTTTTATGAACTTGGAGTTACTTCTCTCATAACTTTAGCTTTAATAGGCCCATCTTTTTAATCTCAAAATCTTACTATACCATTCTTACAGATCTTAATGCTTTCCTTATAGAGTGCTTTGAATATTTCTTCCTCGGACCCCCTTCCTTTTGTCTTGAGTACGTGGGCAATATTGTTCTTAAATTTCTGTTCATGAGAAGTTCAGTAGGTGACTTACCACATTCTAACGGCGTTGCTCAGTATTTTAATAAAGCAAGTTGAAAATCTGTTACTCAGTCTTTGATTTTTTGTTTTGCAATCTTTTAACAATTTGAACTCCTTTTTCAGTAAGTCTATTTGACCTTGGAAAACTAGATGTGGACATTTTGAAATCATAGGGTTTAGCAAATCAATTTTTATAGTTTAAAAAGCATTAAACAAATGGAATGTATGCCATGGTCTGTCATTAAGGCGGACACTGCGTAAAGCTTCCTTACTCTCCGTGGACTAGGGTGAACAACTATGTTGGTTAGAACAACCTACTACGAACCCGGAGGTCATTGGTTCGATTCCTTTTGGCACACAAAAAGAAACTAATAACTAACGAATAATAACTAAAGAACTTACAAATTGCGTCGGTTCTTAAATAAATTCGATTACTCCTTTTTTTTGTTAATTTATTTAATTTACTTTTTTTCATTTTGAACACATGGAATTAAAAATCTTTCTAGTAGGCTTTATTACCGACGCATAGTTTTCTTTTAATCTAATTCAATGTTTATCTATAATGCATATTAATCTATGAAAAAAAAAGCCATAGAGTTTGATTAAAAGATATATGTAGAACAAAAAATTTGTGAATTAAATATCAGGGAAAATCATAATAACTTATACTTTGAGCTACTTAAGTCTTTATTTTATTAAAAATATGTTTATTGGAATAAACGATTCAGAAATACAGAAGATGTATAAACGATGTTCTGTCCTATTTATAATTGCTTAATTCGAAAAAATTTTTTTTTAAAAAATTTTTGCTTCATTTTCAGCTTTTTTTCTTTTTAACCATACTGCAGTTGGATTAAAAACTGTTCCCATAAATTAACAGTCTTTAATAACATTGTAGCATTAACATGGAGAGCTCACAATTGATGTTAAAAAGAATGCTAACTTATTGACTTTGGAACATTAAAAAAATCTTGTCGGAAATAAATGGAAAAAAAAACGAAAATAAATTTTTATTTGAAAGTATATCAAAAAACACAAATCCGGTGATACTAGCTAAAAGTTTTAAAAAAATATTTTGTACTGCTCGTGCAAAACTTGAAGTATTTACTTACTTCTGTATCGCTTAATCTCTCTGATATAGTATCATTTTACAATACAATTAAAATAAATATAAAAAATTAATTTAAAACAAATAAATAATTATGTCTTTAAAAATAAATAAAACTATAAAAAGCTTAAATATTTCAGTGAAAAAAATTGCAAACCGCATTCATTTCTTAATTTAGGAATGAGATTTTACTCAAATTGAAGTGAGTAACAAGGAATCATTTTTAAAATAAATTAGCTTATTTTTATAGATTTTTATCATAGACTTAATTTTAAATTTTTCAGGAAATACAAGGATTTCGAATATCTTACATGAAAGCAACCTGCGTTTGGCTTGGAATCTTGATGTCATGTGGTATTCTATGGGCTGCTTTGAACTGGAGAAAGCGGTATTATATGTATTATAGTCATTCACCATGCACCTTGAGAAGAGCACAGAAGGTTTTGTTAATAGTAAGTGAACGTTTTCTTTGAACTTGTTTCTTTCTTGCCTATAAAATTCCATTAAAAAATATTTTAAAACAAAACCATGAAGCCTATTTTAACCTCTTGGGGACGGGTGATTCAGAAAAGCATTCGTGCAAAATCAGAATCAAGTTGTTATTAAATAAAAAACGGTAACTTAAATGTAGTCGTTGCTAATTTGACAGACTTACTTTGCTTTTACTTTAACTATTGTTAGTTTAATCATACATATAATCAATGTTAATTCAAAGAATAACTAAATAGTTTTATTTTGAACAAAGTAATGGTGAATTAAATAAATCAAACAATTATAACTCCACCCACAAATAAACTGTTAAGGAATTACTTTGATTACCAGTTTTATCTTTTTACCCTGATTGTTATGGTTTTATGCTGGCACGTATTTGTGACAGTCGGCGCGAAAGGGTTAATCAAAAAGTCATAATTATATTTCAGATAAGTTAAAATACTTGTTGTTGTTGTTGACGTAGTCCATTAAGACAATGAGGGGGCGATTGTTTTTTTTCTAATGGCACCATCTATGACTGAAAATTCGACTTCTGCCACACCCATACGTCACACCCGTTTACAGGGCAGATCCATTAATTCCTCCACAAATCGCAATTTTGACCTGAACCAGAGAACGATCACTCTCCAATCCAGTACACCAGAAGTATAATTTGTTATGTGAACATTTCATGGGAAGACTTTGTGACCCGGCAGATTTAAATTGTTCCAGTCACCATTTACTACACGGGCAGTCTTCTGCCGGCTAGATTCGAACTCTTGTTCTTACGAACGTTATTCCAGTGCAAAATTCTAGTTGGAATTATGATATAGTCTGAAAAATGTTATTTGGAAATGTAATCTAGTGAACTTTTGTCTTGGACTATAATGATAGAACACTGACTAGTGAATGTTAAATTTAGCCAACACTTCCTTAGAATTGAAAAAAGAAATTGGTTTTAAGGTGATGCGTCTAAACTTTTTTTAAAACAACCATTCCTAAAAAGTTATTTTAAATCAAACCTTAGAAAAACCCATACAACACAAAATATGCAAATACATTTCAAATAAGTTAAAAATCTCGATTCAGCAAAAACATGATTACCTGAGAAAAAAAATTGATATGTTATGTTGAAATCGCTTTTGTAATTTCAACCGATAAGAATATTGCTAGAAATGTAATTTTGTAAATTCATTTTATCTAGTATTTCCATTTTGGACTTATTTTAGACATATGTCTAACAAATGTATATTAAGTTTTAACGGACACTGCAGCCAAACTATATAAAAACTTTGATTTTAAGACGCTACGTCTGATATATTTTAAAACGCACTTGCAAAAAAGGATATTTCAAAGCAAGACTCAGAAGGCTATATAACAGAAAATGTCGCAACATTTCAAATGATTAAAAAATCTCGCTGAAACTATGTCATTGTCTCAGAAATATTATTTCAAAATGTAATCTTGTAAAATTTTTATCTCAACTGTTATCGAAATAAATCTGATGCAAAGTTTCAATGGATACTGCCTCGACTTTAGGATGTTTGATAAAGAAAAATAATGATTATAAACATTTTTGTCAGCTAAAAAGTATCCTATTAGAATCAAATTTAATACAACATAAACGAACATTCAGCCAATTTCATCGGGATTTTACTTTTCTTCAGTTTCCAATACCCTAAATAAAGCTTAATTTTCTTGGGAGCATAGGACATAAAATATTTAAAAAATGTAATTTTTAAGAAAAATACACACAGAATAAAGATTTTTTGTTTCAATTCATAAAATTTCAAAAAATTAGGAATGTACCAATTAGCTTAGCTTCATTCACTATAAATATAGTAGCTCTCTATTAAGTTTTTTAAAAGTTTTTTGATATCATCGTCCCTTGTCAATAACAAATCACAACTTAAATGCATGTACTTAAAATACAATATTTCTGATATAAAATAAAGTGTATGAAATAAATTATGTAATATAAATTATATAATATAAATTATATAATATAAATTATATAATATAAATTATGTAAAATAATCTAACTTTATTCACTGCTTTCATGTTAATTAAAATTCAATTTAATTTCACAGGATAATTATAACCAAGACTTCGTGGTAAAGATTAACTACCCATTGGACATAATCTCCAAGCAATCGAGATACTTCTATTTCAAAAAAATGAAATATGCTTGGAATGACAAGGAATCAACATTTACTGTTGTAGGGTAAGCATAAAAAATAATCGAAAATAGATAAACCCTATTTATCTCGATAATTTTCTTATAAAAAAACATAATCTGTTTTAAGATTCGAAAAAATTTAAAAACCTATAATAATCATAAACTTTTAGAGATAAACAGTGATGAATTTAGAAAAGTTTTCTTATTTGAGAGATTTTGCATTCGCACATGCATTTCAACTCGCTCACACATATGAGTTCTGCGCTGCGATGTTAATACAAAACAGTCTCAGTTCCTTACAGAGCGCGCGGGATGCTGTGAGAGATATCTTTAGAATAACTTTTCTCCAATACATTGACTCCCAGATTAATTTGTATACAACGAGAACATAGTAACCAAAACAATTCGCTTCTTAATTCGCTCGTTAAAACAGATTCGGAAGAAATGAGATACCCGCAAGTGACGTAGTGTAGGTTGCTATTGTGCATGCTCACGAAGCTCAAGTGTGAACGGAATTTTCTCTAGATCAGTTAATGAGACTATAAAATTACCTACTTGAAATGTCTTATGACATTTTGTTTACATTTCGTAGTTTTGGAAGTGGATATAATATTTAGCTACACTGAATATTTGTGCTGTGAGGAATATTATTTTTTTCACGAACTTGAAAGCAGCTGCATTAAATAATAATTCGTAAGAAAAATTCTTTTTCGAAGCATCTTGGTTTAAATATTGAGCAATAAACATTGACCTATATACTCTATAAAATAAAACAATAACCCAAAATTCTTAATACCCATCTGTCTTATTTTAGAAAGTAAATGTTACGAAATAGTGGATTTTTACATGACAAGTGAAAAATTTAAAAGTGTTCGATAAGTAAATCAAACCTGTTATAAAATGTAATGGCTTGTTTTTATTACTTATTTTTTCCTCCTTATTTTATCTTCTGAATCAAAAAAATAAGATAAACTGTGTGTTTTATAACGCATGCATTAGAAAAATCTGCTTGTTTTTCATTCAACTTTAAAACGGTGAAGAAAATAATTTTTCCAGTGTTATGAATAAAAATGTTATAGTTTTGATTGAAAACTACAAAGAAATAGCCATCATTTTTGTTAGAACTTTTCATGAATTCTTCCTTGCGAAAGAAATAAAATTATTATGATAAGTCACATGTACATTTTAAACATCTGAATTACTAGAGTAACTGATTAAGCAAAGACAGTGATTTATAAGTTACATGAAATTAGTTACGTAAACTTGATTAACATTCCTGCTTCCAGATAAAAATGCTTGCTTAAAAAATTTCAAAATTATTCAAAGGAAATTTAATAATAAGTATTTTTGTTTTCAGGAAATAAAGCTAAATTTTATACTTCTTGCACACTATTATTAAAATCACATTTTAGTACTTTTCTGGAATAGATACGTTTTATTACATAATCATTCATGTTTCTTTTCGTTGTCAACAATGAACAACACTGAGTGTATTGTCTTTGAAAGTAACGAAGAACTTTATGACTACTGATAAAATCTAATGAAAAAATAGCTCCAGAACTCTCTGTTTTACGAAATACATTTTAATGAGACATTTGTAATTCTATTTTTACTCCTAGTTATTACGACTGATATATTTAAAGTTCGTATTTCTTAAGCGGAATCCTAGAAATCCGTGAAAGATCACGTGTGTTCCGCAAGTTAACATTTATGGCAATAATAATTTTCCAAATCCGTAATTACATTTACATCAAAATAATAAATTATAATTTATTTGATATTTTGAGAAATTATTTTAAAAAATAGCATAATTTTTAAAAAATAATTCTTAAAATAAAATATTGAATAAATTACGAAACGAATATGCATTTTTAAAAAATCGCATCAGTATTTATCTAACTTTTCAATAGGAAAATAAAATGACCAAATTCTATCTAGATTAAAGAATTGATACCAATAAACAAATTTCTCCCAATACTTGATCCAGGAGTTCCGTTGTCTTCTGGATTGGGTTCAAAATTACAAGGCTACGTAGTTGAACATTAGTAGTCGTAAACCCGAAAATTGGATCGGCTGTTCAACGGTGATTATAAAATAAATTAAATTAATAAACAAATTTTATAAGTTTTTGGATATCTTAGTATCCAATGCATTTTCTAAGACGCATTAATTAATTAATTAAGCTGTGCTGATTAAAAATATGCGGACCATTTTTTATCACCTAAAATTCTTTTCTTAGATCTTTATTATTTACATTTCACTAGAGCCATTTACTAAATTGAGTTCTCATGAGCATATCATTATCTAAGAAAACACTCAGGTTAAGTCTCGTCGCGTATATACTGCGTAGAAATTTCTTGTTAGAAATACAACACACATAAAATCTATACACCCTGAAAATACATCTTAATCTAAGGTATATATCATTACGGTACACATCTTAAGGGTTCATGCAGTGGCAGATAGAAAACTGAAACAAAGAGCATCAAAAAAAGACATGAAAAAAAAAGATGGAAAAGTGGTACCGAAGCTTCAAATTGAACTTGGATTATAATCAAATTTTAAAAAATATTTATTTACATTCAAATAAATATTTAATTATATTGAATTCATGATTAATATCCTGAATCAAATCGGTCATTAAATTTATCTAATTGTTAAAGTAGTGTATTTTTCCGATGCTCTTTTCTTTTATAGAGCTTTCTTCTGTGGTTCTAGTATAAAATGTAATTCATTCAACTGTTTGACTTAATACTTCTGATTTTAAGACTATTATTCATAAAAAGACGGTTGAAAAACTACGATTCTTCTCATTATGTGTTATCAAAACAAATATTAGATTTTCTTTGGTTAGTATATATCCATAGCTGCTAATAAATTTTATACATAAACTTGGGGTTCCGTCAAAAAATTTCCATTCTTTAAGATTCCAAAGACGAAAAAAATCAGGAACAGTTGCTTTAGAAAACTATGAAGCAAAACCCTTTCACACAGATTATTAAAATAAAAAATTTATACCTTTTCCATATGTTCTGAGATTCTGGTAACTATTACTAGAAAAATAATGTTAAAGGAAAGGAAATTTTATGAATAAAACTTCCTTGAATTAAAATTTTTTATCAATATTTGAAACTATCAGAAAAAATAAATAATATAATAATTATTGCCAAGTTGTAAAGAATTGCAAAACTTTTTATTAGTAAAAACAGTATGTAAGTTATTGATAGATTCCACCCACTCTCAATGCGTATACAGTAAATTTGGAATTGCAGCACAATAGTTCCCGTTAGGAGAAACTAGGTCCATTATCCCAGTCAAGTAACCCATTGTATTTATTTAAAATCCAATAAATATTTAAATCTTAGATGGCAAAAACATTCTATCACCACTTGTTTCACAAAATGTATAAACAAAACAGTTTATACATAATATTTTTTAAATTCCTAGACAGAAGAACATCAGTTTAGAGTAGAAATCTAAATCAGAAAAACCTTTTTTTTAAATGAAATTAGTCCCAACGGTCAGAGTGTTTTATAGTGGGTAGCTTTTGTTAATGTCCCAATACTTAGCGTTTTATATTCAGCTCGAGAAACTTGTAATGCACTATTAGCCCAGCACTACATCATTTTGTAGGGGGCAAAAATAAGAAATTACACTAATGATATACAGTAGAATAAGTTAAAATTAAATGTATTCTAAAATTGAGGTTTGTCACTAAAATCAATAATTAGAAAGCTAAAGTCAAGTGATTAAAATAGCACAATGTAAAGAATAAAATACAGAATATAAAGAGGATAAAATACAATTAAATGTGCAAACTTAAATTGAAGCACGTAGTAAAATACTATGAAATGAATAAAATTAAATTGAAGCAAGAAGTGAAATACAATAAAATGAGTCAAATTAAACTGAAGCAAGCAGTTAAATACAAAGATAAAATATTGTAGCCCATACCCATTATTTAAAATCAATTGATTAAAATAGGTTGTTAAAATTCATAAAGACCATCTAAAAGACAGCAAAGAAATAAAGAGAGTCAGGGAATCCTGTGAATTGGATTATTTGGGTCCTCTGGGATTGTAGGTCTTCTAGTGTTATTCTTATGAGGATTTTGATAATAATAGTATATATGAAAAAGATCAATTATGGATGCATCAAAACATTCATGATTTTTTTATAAAAATAATCTTGATCTGAAATTCGTTCGTGTCCTTTGCATTTTCGAGATCATTTTGAAAAGGTCTAACTCTGCCGTGGTTGAATACAATATGCTTAATCACTCAAATGGAAAGTTTTATTCTGGAGATGATATATTTAATTATCTCAATGTTTATTGCCGAGAAGACAAAAATTATGGAAATATATACTGCCTATTCAGAACAAATCTCAGATATCCAAAAGATGCATTCGTTCTGCAGATTTTGTAAGCAATTTAACAATAATAAGTCTTCCCTACAATTTAAAACAATCATATCATGTTTTCTAATTAATTCGAACAAATTCATAATTTTATTTAAGACTTGTAAAATAATGCAAAAATTCATTAAACAAAACGATGCGGCAAAAATGCGAGATGATGTAGTACTTCGATTGTAAGCAAATTGTCTCCGCTATAGGTAGCGAATTAGATAATACCAACTGATTAAGGGAAAATTCTGTTTACACTTTCATCCGTGAGCATGCGCAAAGCATCCAAGAGGTCACATTTGTGGATATCAATGATCTTCTTCTTGAAGTGCAAATACCCAATAATCACAAAAGAAAGCTTTATATTGTACAAAACTGAACTAGAAAATAAATCAGCTTACTCATTTATGATAATTATTTTCAAAAATTAGAATAAAGCTTGATTTCAATTATTTATATATTTTTTTGTTTGAATTTGGCAATTATTTACGCAATAACACGCATGGATCGTTTCGTTGTAAACACGAATATCACTATCACTTATTGATTGCAAAATAATTGGCAATTTCTCTATTAATACTTCCTATTTCTCAATTCTACACTCGAAGAAAAGTGCTTTGAATGTAGAAGGTGGTGGTTTACTTGTATGTTTTCAAACACCATCAAATTCTGAGTTTTGCAAACATTTTGTCAGGAACAGCACGCAACAAGCAGGCAAAAACAAGTAGGTAATCATTCAAGTAAATGGTTAACATGAGAGCAATTATTTCGATTGTGTAATTCGTAGAAATGGCAATAAAGGCTTTAAATGGTTACCTTTTTCTTCCGTCTATGAAGAATAAATTCACCGAAAGAAATGTTTTTAAATCCTTTCAAAAGAGATAAAACTGTTGCGATCACTCAACTATTTTATTCTGACAGGTTTAATTTTCAAAACGTTTTGGACACACTCTTTGGTTGAATTCGAATAATGCTCAACAAGACAAGAGTAAGCAAGAGTTTATGTAGGAGCAAGAGTTTATGTAGGCTTAATAGCCTACATAAACTCTTGTAACCAACGGTAAAAAAACATAATTAATTTGATAAAAACGTTATTTCTTTAAATCAGTGTTCGTAATAAGCGAGTTTTACTGCAAACGCATTGATTCTTCAGCTTAACAGTACGACAATTGGCTATGTTATAAAATGCTTTTGAAGCCCTGAGAGTTCAAATCAAGTGTTAAAGTAAGAACATTTAATACTTACAGCTGACAAGACACACTATAGCGAATTATTTCACTGAAAAATATTTTGATAAATGTTTGATAATTTTTGAAACAAAAATTATAAAGTGATTGTGTTTTTTTAGAGGACTTAATGCAGAAAAATGTTCATTCTTCCACCAATTTAAAAAAGGAATGTCTTCAACGGAAGCAGATCGCTGTTTGAGTTTTTATGGAAAAAATACTATTCACATTCAAGTGAAACCAGTAATACGTTTAATTCTTAGAGAAGTAAGTTGAAAGCTACATATCGCTCAACGAAAATAACTATGTATGATTTCTCCTCCTTTTAAATTTCAGCAAAATCGCAGTAGTAATAATAAGTAACAAGAAATTTAATAATTGAATGCTTAAATTACTTAGAAGAAAATTCCAACGTATATAATAAGAATTCTCAACCGTTTTAGGAAGAAAGTTTTATCGCTTTCTTAGAAATTGCGTTGATGCTCTATGTAGGCAATAATTGCTACGAAAAGGTAAGCTGTGTTTTCAAACATTCACTATAAGTTATAATACATTGAAATGAAGTAACTTCTTCAGCCATTTCACGCATGCGGAAAAATGTGATAAATGAAGTTTTTTTTCACTCTGTTTGATTGGGTAACAGATACACTGCAAAAAAATCGGATCAAATTATGGTAATTTTTAGTGGTAACATTTTTATTACAAACCTATACGCGTTTCAGTGTTACAGCGGTAACAGCAAGGAATGATCAAAACAAAAAGTGCTTAATCCGACAGAAGTTACGGCATACTCTGTTAAAAATTATCGATCAAATTACGGTAAAAAGTACCGGCATTCAGAGTGTCGGTATTTTTTACCATAAATCCATTTTTAACGTAACATGCTAAGGCACAAAAAAATCAGATATACCGTAGTTTTTATAGTAATAATTCGAGTAAAAGCACGGAATCACTCTAATTAAATCAATGTTGCTGTAAAAGTTGCGGTATAATATTTTATGGTAAAAGTAGAAGTGCCAGTACCGTAATTTGATACGGAATTTTTTACTATATGCACTTGAAACATATAACTTACTGAAGTTCCATCATACAAATATCATAATCCTGAAAATATCCCACAATTGTTTGTTTTAACTCTTTTGACCAAATACTTCACAAAAGCCAGAATTGTCTTCCCTTTTACGTTATTTTTTCCCATGCTAGTTTTTAGATTTAATTGTACCATAGAACTTTTTGAAGCTCTATGATTTAAGCACTATAATCTCGAAGGGGTGTCCGGCAATTTACGTTATAATTATTATATCCAAATATTACACAAAACAAAATTTAAGAGTGTCTTTCTTTTCACGTTCATTTTATCTCATGTAAAATACTGGTTTTTTCAGAGTTTGGTGAAGCCATAGAACCATAAAACCATTAAAAGTTAAAACACCATAGTCGCGAAAATGGCTCATTCTATACTTCCTACTTATGACTCAGAAAGCCATATTCGAATCATGATCACAATGATGAACACATATAAAGAAAATGATCATAGTCTGGAATATGATAGCTATACTTTATTTAGTATTTTTTCTGCTTTTGCCGATAACAATTTTAAGTTTGTTTAGCTTTTTTGGTGGAAAATGAAAAAAATTTTCCTTATATCAATCCATTTTAAAGTTACTTTTTAATTCAACAATACATTTTCTGAGATTTTGGTTTTCAAGTTACTAAACGGAATTCCTAACCTTTAAACACAACTGCACATTGTAAAAAATTCTGAATCAAATTACGATTTAAAGTACCGGTGCTCAGGGCACTGGTACGTTTTACTGTAAAATTCATTTTACGTTTACCGTAAAATCCATATTACTGAACGAAAAAAAATCGATATACTGTAATTTTTAGAGTAATAATTACAGTAAAATCATCGAATCACTCTGATTAAGTAAATATTACAATAAGAAATACGGTACAATATTTTACTGTAAAAATAGATTTCAGGTAAAATGCATTTTACGGATGATGCACCTGGTACTTTATAACGCAATCTGATCCGACATTTTTCACTGTTTTTAGATACCAGATTTTCCCAGTACTAGCTTTAAATAGTTTGCTTTAGCGTATTTACATTAGTATGAAAAAATTTCAAAACAAACATTAATTCGTAATTAAACGCTTAAAAATTAATAGCCTGTTTTGAATTGTTTGTAAAATTATGTACTCGATATAAAAATGCACCAGCAACATATATAATAGTTCATTTACTTGTCAATCTCGTTTTTGAGAATTCGTATGATTTATTTTAGTTCGCTTAAAATAAACTGAATGTTAAAATTTCAAATATAAATTTTATTTCTTATTATTATTTCTTTCAGGTTGTTAGTCCATTTTATATCTATCAAGTATTCATAGTTACTGTCTGGTTTCTGCAATACTATTATCAGTTTGGAGTATGCATCATAGTATTATCAGTGATATCCGTTGCTGCTACAGTGTGGGAAACAAGAAAAGTAAGAATGATAAGAAAAATTAATAATATTTCCTTTCTGTTAAACTTTTTTTTTGAGTTTAAGTTCTTGACAAGGTTCTGAAATTAAAATGTTTCTCTTTGTATAACTCATTCAAATTATGAATTTCTATTTTTTACTTATATCACAAGAGTTTATTTATAAAAGTATAGGTTTAATATTTTAAAGCAATATAAGATATATATCACCAGTGATAGTAATCAAATTTTAAAATTTGATGTCGAAAACAATTAAATATTTAAACAGTTAAGTAGTGAATGCCTTATTGCGACATTTTTCAAGCTAGCTGGCATAATGTTTAAGAGAATGCTCTACCACGGGAAAAACTTTTCATGTCAAATTATTTTTCATTCCCATTGGTATTTTAAAATTTAAAATTTACAGGAAAATGAATTCGAGTAAATCTAGAGTAATGCGCGTTGTTTCAAATCCTGAAAAAAATGTGCTCAAAATATCAAATTGCTATCAAATTCTTTCAGGATAAGTTCTTGCGTATTCCTAAGATAAACCAGCAATTCTTACTTGATAAAAAACTTCATTTACTTCAAAAATATACTTATTAGAAAAAAGTAATGTTTCAAGCACTCAAAAACAGGCACCCATTTTCTAGACTTGAATGAAAAAAGCAAAAGTGATGTGAAATATAAAACGTAAAATTATATTATATTTCAAATCTCTTTTGTTTCTTATCATTCACGTCTGGCAAGTCTTGAAAATGGGGGCCTGTTATTTGGTTTTCATGGTTAATTCTAGGCTTATCTGAGCTCACTTTTTCCATAGTTTAAATTGCTTACGTAAGTGAAAAAGAATTTACAATAATGGATTTCTCACTCAGTATAGGGCCCTCAGAGAATCTGCGAATTTGCATATCAGATTTTTTTTTAATAAGCGTATTATTAGTTATGAAAATAAAAATTGAGTAAATAATCGTTAATATTTGTAAATTCTGCACTGTAAAAATTCCGAATCAAGCTACGGCATAAAGTATCGGTAATTTGGGTGCACCCTCCCTAAAATTTATTTTACCATAAAATTCATTTTTATCGTAAAATATTATTACTGTAAAAACTACGGTTTATCAGATTTTTTGTTCCGTAACAAATTTCGGTAAAGATTGATTTTACGGTAAAATGTACCGGTAATTTGAGTGCTAATACTTTTTACCGTAATTTGATCTGGAACTTTGTGCAGTGTACTTTCGGATAAAGTAATTTTTTTTTTACATTTATCCAATTTGTTATAAAGATGTATTAGATGTAACTAAATAATTTCAGATGAAACACTAGAGAGATATTTAATTTATTAACGCATAATGCCCTTTTAATTTTTGCTGAACTTTTTTAAAATCAAGTGTGTTTAGGGTTTTGATCAGAGAATTTCTAGACTAGAGTTAGAATTACGATAATCCTGTTCATGGTGTTAAGAAAATTAAATGATTTTATAGCTCAAAAATTAAATTTCAAAGTTGTTTTATTCACATACAAATATATATTTACAGGTATACAATTCAAACTTAACAATGCTATTCGTTACATAAATAGTATGGAATTTATTATTTAAATTTTTCACGAAATTTTTTTACAGCAAAGTCGTTCGTTAAGAGAAGCCATGAGATCTGAAACGACCGTTACTGTTTACAGAGATTCGAAAGGTAGGTTTTAATTTATTTAATAATTTATTATTTAGTTTTAAATAATTTTTTAAGTCTACTGCTCATTTGTGTTTAACTTAGGCAGTACTTGAGAGTATTATGAATTTTAAAAGCCTTTTTACATGGAAAAGTTAAAGCTCAAAGTTCTTTAACGGTTTTGTTCGAACTTCTGATATATATTTTTTTTATTTTCCTTGAAAAAATTATAAGTTAGAAATATTTATTTCATCATAATTCAATGCTCAGACATAATTCATTGAAAAATCAGAAACAATGGCGAGAATTTGCTCAAACCACTAAATAAATTTAATTTAAACTAAAACTTAGTTTGATAATGTCCAACAATTATTGATTTGGTTTCGTTGTTGACCTATGCTAAAGCTACACAAAGGAGCTATTGTTGACGATATAAGATTTATCAATAATAATGATTTAAAGACAATATTGCACTGAAAAAAAATAGGATTCAAACTGCCAGATTATGGTACCGTGTTTCTGGCACTATGGGAACACCAAAAAGCTCGGTAATTCTTACCGATGCACCCTGGTAATAGTTTTGATGAAATTAACAATAAAATATGACTTTAAAATAAGTGGTAAAATTTGCTAAATGATTAAAATTTTATCATGATACCTTATAGCATTGCATAAAAACCATTTATTTGGTTAAATCTCAAAGAGAAGTCTAAAGCTCTAAAATAATACTTCAATATTAACTCAAATAAAACTTCATCTTCTTTTTCATTTAAAAAGCAGCAAAAAAACAATCTACGGCAAAAAACAATGTAAAACAAAGTAAAAAGTTTAAAAGGTTTAACAAAGTAAAAAGGTTTGACAAAGTAAAAAGGTTAACGTGTTAACTTAAACTTTATAACCCAGAGTTAACTTAATTACAATTGACAAACTTCTTGAATAATTCAATCAACTTGAATAATCCATCAATTGTTCTCATCAACGAAACGCTTAAATTATTATGATCAACAAATTTCTCGAAATATTATAATCAACGGCTCTCCAATAAGCGATACGGTTCTAAATCCAAAATCAATACCCAATTTAAAGTTCTTCATTACTTAAAGATTTCACTGTGAATTCTGTTATTTATATTAAATATTATATAAACACTTTAATTTTTCCACTCATCAAACCCTTGAAAATATTTCAAAAAATAAATTACTTAAAAGATTTAAACTTCAACACGATTCCAAACTCAAAATCAATGCCCAAATCTAAAAGTATTTTAGTATTTTGTTATTAAAATTTGATATCCGATTATTCGCATTAATGAAACACTAAAATTTTTCCGAACATCAAATTTCTTAAAATATTTTAATCAACAATTTCTTAAAAAGATCGCTTATACAATTCTAAATCTCATACCAGTTTTTATTGTCACTAAAATGAAAATAATGTACTGCAAAAGTTTCTAAATAACTGTTTGTTTTCTATGTTTTGATTGATTTAGAGACGAAAGTACATTCAGAAGAGTTGGTTCCAGGCGATGTTATAATTTTACCTTATTCTTGTAAAACCATATCTTGCGACTGCGTCCTNGAAATTTTTGAGTAATTATTGTATATTTTTTTCTCGCAAAAGTATAATCCAACCCATGTTTAATATACAGTTTGAATAGATAATTATATTAACGAATGCAATAAAGAAGAAAAATCTAATTGACTCGAACCGAGTAATAATATATTCATTTAATTATCACTGGAGCAAATAGCTCTATTGGCTTATGGAGAGTTTGTCAGGCTTCGTACAAACTCTTCGTAAACCAATCCTGATTTGTCTGCACCTTCATAGCGATCATATTCACCCATCTCCTAATATCCACAATGCTGAAGTTAAGACTACACAAATTCAGAATGGCTAAAATTTCACAATCCTTAACTAATCACACCTAATTGTTGTAGGGAAATATATAGTCGCGCTTGGCATAAGTGTTCTCAGTTATTTTTCCTCCTGGGGTCAACAAATTACTAATAATGTTATGGCCATTAGTGAGCCCTACTTAGAAACTGTCGATAGGGCTCAGTGATTGGTTAGCCATTTAACTATTTGCAATGGAGTATTTACATCACCTTGAGGAGATGGAAGTTTTGCCACTATTGTTTCAAGTACATCTTTTATTCCAAGCTCAGTTTTTGCTGATATTAAAACTGATTCACTTGCATCAATACCGATTGCTTCCTCAATCTGAAGTCTTACCCTTTCTGGATCTGCAACAGGAAGGTCAGTTTTATTGAGTACGACTATTATCTCATGATTATTGTCAATTGCCTTGTATACATTTGTAAGAGCTGAGCTTCAACACCTTGACTGCTATCTACCACTAAAAGTGAGCCTTCACACGCTGCTAATCTTCGACTTACTTCAAACGAAAAGGCTTCCCTCCACATTTGGCAATGTTCTCTTACAACGAAAAACTGCCGAAACTATTAAACTTCTCGCAAGAAGGCTTGAACATTGAATTTGACCAACAATTCCAATTTCTTTTAAGCAGTTTTAAGTGGAGACAACGTAGTTCTTCCAAATATTACAAGAACCCTGCATAAACGTAACATCATTTATCTTCTGCACAGTAAATAGATTGAAGAAAAAATATCTAAACCTATTACATTTTATAATTTTATTTAGTTTAAAACAATTGTGAAGCTGGAGCCCCACCAAGCTTCTTCATTTTTAGTCTCAAATTGTCTCAACTAAGTCTATTGTTTCTGTATTTGAATCATTGGCTGTAGTTCATGGTGTATCACTGAGTTAACCGATTTGAAAAAAAAAATTTTTTTAAACAATTTAAATAATTTTAAGTTGGGCAGCTTTATTAAATTTTAAAAATGACATTGAACACAATCATGACCTGAATAAGAAGAATTTCAATTCTCCTAAATTAGGTAACAAAATAGTCCTGGGTTGCGGTGATTCTAGAACAGAAATAATTATAATTCCTCAAATAAAACTAATTATAATGGATATGTAGTTCAATTAAGTAATCCTCATTTGTTTCGTTTTGAAAGCAATCACGTTGCTTAGATGTTTGAAATTCGATTATTTTTGTTAGCATTTTTCCATTAGTTATTTTATTTAATTATTTTTTTCTACCGTAGGAGAAAGCATCCCTATCACAAAGGTTCCGGTTTCTGAAGATGATGATTCTTCTTTCGATGTTTCTTCGAATAAAAGAAGCATCCTTTCGTGTGGCACGGAATTGTTGATTAGTCGGTGCTCTGGTGATTCTTCTGTCAAAGCTGTTGTTTATCGAACCGGTAAATTACTCGATTACCTATCAGAATTTTTAAAAAATATTCGGGATTGATAATTCGTTATGATCTGGTTTATAACTTAACTGAATTTATCTTTAACTTAAAACGAAAGTTAGACACAAAATCGGCGAAAATTTCTCACAAGTCGATTTTTCTAAATATAAGAAAAGCATTTTGTCATGTGGTACAGAATTGTTCATAAGTTGATGTTCTGGTGATGGGTGGTTAAGTGATCTTTCAATCAAAATAGTTAATCATCTGATACATTATAGCTTAATGTAATCAGAAAATGAATCCAATTTGCAAAAACAAAAGAGACAAAGAAATAAATTAACAATTGAAACATTGAATCAAAATGGAAAAGAGCCTAAAGCAGCTAAAACTAAATTTGCTTTATTTTAATTTAGATATTCAAACAAACATTAAGATATTTGGATATTCAAACAGACGCCCGGTGGCTGAGCGGTAGCTCTTCTAGCTGTCGTGCCACAGGTCCCTGGTTCGATCCTCGGGCCGGGCAAGGTTGATTCAGACTTTCATCCCTTCAGTGGATTGATAAATGAGTACCAAGCATGCTTGGGAACTAAACACTGGGGGTTCCACTTTCGGCTGACCACCTGACCGGAACATCTGCTCCTGCACCCCGGAGCCCAAGGTCAAGAAAACTGAGATGGGCACAGTAGACCTTGGTCATCTATGAGCTGTCGCGCCACTGAGTTTGGTTTTGCTTAGATATTCATACAAACATTAAAAATAAAAGATATGTGTGTTTGTGAAACAGCACTTCTTTAGGAGACACACTGCCTACAAACGCATAGGAGCCTTTCTGTTGTCAGCGGAAAAACCAAAACTGACAGTGCCCCGAGGCCCCATAATGGATAGACAAATAAGAGAAAATTATTATCAGAATTGAAAAGTACAGAAAATAATGAACCAGCAAACACTAGTACACATAGTAAGACTTAAAAATGAAACGCCTACTTATAAATAAAAATAGTTACAGTTACAGTAACTATAGTAACTTATACATCAAGATTTATTTATTTGGATAAGTATAAAATTGTTTTATAAAAAAAAACCAAAACACACCTAATTGCAATATCCTTGCTTCAAAAACTAGCAGAAATTGTGACGGGACACAATATCAAATTTTTATAATTCAAAAATACTAATTTTATGAATGCGAAATTAGAAAATAATGTGAATAATGTGAAACTTTGAAATCATTTGATAAGCTATCAACGTAAATAAATTTCAATTCAAAAGATAGAAACAACAAAAAAATCTTTTTAGCTTGCAAAAGATAGCCGGATAACAAGATGATCAACTTTGTAATTTAAATCATAAATAAAGTATTTTCCTGGCGTGAATCGTCGTATTTTGGATACTCGATATTCTTTCAATTTATATATTATAAGTGGAAAAAAAATTTACTTGTTAAAAAAATTTTAAATCAGTTTGAACAAATCTGAACTTATATTAAATTTTGTTATGAGCCAATTATTAATTATGATTAACCTTTTTTTTTTAATTATAATAAGCTTTTTTATTAATTATGCAAAAATATTTTCAGAATTAATTTCAAAATTTTTCCCAAAATCTTCTTATTTGAGTTTGTTTGAATGTAAGCGGAAACAAATAAAATAAGTTAAAAGGCATCAGAGAAAAAAAAATAGAGATATAATCGTTTTTAAAAAGAAAATAACAATTGATCTGCATAATAAAAAACAATTCAAATTTAAATTATTTTGTTACATGTTTTGAAAAGGTTTTTAAATAAATTTTCAAATTCATTTAATTTACTTATTTATCTAATAATTTTTGGTTTAAGCACCTTTTTAATATAGGTTGTATTTAAAAGAATTTCTAAGCATAAAAAAATAAAACTTGTTTTTTTCATAAATAATTGTTTGTTAATGACACTAAAAAGGGTTTCTTACTTTATTTGATACACCTTTTTCCAGATAAAAGCAGAAATTTCAGAGTTTCTAAAAGTTAGAACTAACTTTTATATGCTTTAAACTATTGTAATATAGAAGTATTGAAATAAAATGAATTTTAATCTCTTAGGATTTTCTACTGCCAAAGGAGAATTAGTGAGAGCTATTCTTTACCCTAAGCCCGTTAAAATTAAGCTTCACACAGATTTATTAAAGTGCATGGTTATATTTTTTGTTCTTGGTAAGTGTATATTTATTTTATTTTATTTTTAATTAATTAACTTATTTATTTATTTAATATTTATTTATTTACTTATTTTTGTAAGGAGTTTGATGAATTTTAATAACAACTAGCTACGCGTAATCAGAAATATGTTGAATACGCTGAAAAAAAGCAAAAGCAAAATAATATTATTTTATTTATTACCATTTTTTTTAACTTTAAAACGTAGTTTGTATCAAATGTACGTACTAAATTAAAAATACATGTAATTAACATAGAGTTTCGAAATTGAAGTAGAAGATATTTCTTATTTATTAGTCTATTATTTATTATTCAATTATTTATTAATATATTACTTACTATTCTATTATTTATTATTTTATTATTTATTAATCTATCATTTATTATTCTATTACTTATTATTCGATTATTTATTATTATATTATTTATCATTATTAACTCACATCATATTATGCAACTCACAGCATTGTACGAAAAACGTTTAATTTCTGCACTATTTGAATTTTCATTCTAAAATTACGGTAAAATAAGCAGTAACATTCTGTTTATTCAATAAACCGTGAAGTTTACGGTTAGCAATATTTCTGTTCCTTTACAGATTTAAAACCGTTTATGACTAGCATGGCTTAAAAGAACGTTACATTACTATACGGAAAAGTAAACATTTACTATTAGAATGGTTTCAAAATTTTAAATTTATTGCTACAAATTTATTATAAATTAAATAACCACCCATTAGAAATTTAAAAAGAAATGCAAATTTTTGAAGTGAATGGGATTTTTTTTTTCAGAATTCACTTTTAATTTGATATTAAATGAGTAATATTGCTTTGTGTAATACAATATCATTTAATCCAGCTACTTAAATAACTTCTACATTTGATTTGGTATTTTTAACAACAAACAAAGCTTTTAATATTGCAAATTATTTTTCCTGTACAAATAAAATATTTCAATTTATTGCATTATTTATTGTTTATTTTAAAACATTTAAAACATTTCCTTGACTTTTGATTTTATTTAGAAGTTTTTTGAATGTATTTAAAAAGTTTTAAATTACTTTATGCTTCCAGATATATTTCACACGCATTTCAATAAATGTATTTATATTATTTGGGCATTTTTTTTAAAAAAACTAATCAATGATCATTTAATTCGCATTTAACTGTGCAAATATAGCTATAAATATTTTATTAAAATTTTTTGCAACTTTAAAATCAATGAAATATTTATTGAGGTATTTGTTTTTCTATTGTTTATAATTTTCGAATTATTTCAATAAAGAGTTAAGTTTTCATAAACAAATATTTTCAGTGCTACAAAAACTTATTTCAAAATAAGTTTCTGATTTTTAAGTTTTACTCTGAAGTAAAATAATATTTTAAATAATTATAGGGATACCAGCATTAATATACACAGGAATTGTTACCACTAGACTTGAGGTAAGATTTCTAAGCTCCCTTAACTTTAAATTTTATCTATTAATATTCTTTCCATTTCTTGTATTTAGATCTACAAATAGCTTGATTGCAGTTTTATTCAAATTGTTGCTGGTTTTCATTCTTCATTCAAATATTTGTGCATCACAAATCAAAAATTTTCTTAAACTTGTTTTAAAGCCGAATTAAAATGCTCAAAATACTTTAAATACTATGTAGATACATAGTACTATGTTGAAGAAGAGTACTAGTACTATGTTAAAGAAGAGTGAATGCATCTGCTTCAAGAGAACCCGTTTGCATATAATGATGGTTCGTCTATTAACAATCAATAACCAACGGTAGCCAATTGACAAAAGTTTCTAATTCGAAATCTTGCATTAAAAATGTGACTATCAAAAAATAGGCCTTCATTTGGTCAATGACGGTGTAAATAATGCCAGACGCGTATGTTTTAATATATTTCTCAAACTCCTAATAGTTTTGATTGACATATTTTTTAAAAAAGTTATTGAAATGTTCATGCGAATTAAATTATCCCTGTAGTCTGCATCTAACCCTGCCACATTTTCCTAATTTTGTAAAATTATAATGTTTAATTATGAACCCAAAAAATGTTTCCTGTGACAAGTCCGGTGAACGTGGGGGCAATTGTAGAGGCAAAATATCAAATGCAAGAAAGGAATAATTTTTGTGCCCTATGATTTTTTTTCTCGCTGCCATCTTCCGGTAAATATTAAAAGTAATTTTATTGTAATAAATATTTGCGTTTTCCGGAGATTACCTTGATAAGCACCTGAACAGGCTATAAAAAGCTTATATTCCTTCATATTTAAAGTTCGTTTTTCGTGCATTTACCATTGAAAGGAAAAATGATTGACGTTGCATGAACACAAAGAGAGACAACCTTTAATTAAGATTATTTCTTTTAAATAAATTATATTATTATGCTACTGAACAAAAATTAGATATTCTCATTCTAATATCACAAACTGCGAACTAAAAGTAAATTAATTTTCTAGAGTGGCAAGATGTTTATTTATATTGGAATATCTGCTATGCTTTATTCTTATAGAATCAATTACCTGAAACGCTTTCTTAATAGGCCCACCCTTGGGACATAGCACTTTTTCTGCTGAACGTCGTCACTTTCTTTGTTCCGCCTGCTCTTCCAGCTGTTCTCACGAGCATCAATGAACAAGCCCAGAGAAGACTCAGAAAGGAAGGGATATTCTGCCTCAACACTCGTTACATCAATGTTGCTGGAGGATTAGACATCGTTTGCTTTGATAAGGTAAAATTAACACTTTAGTTACTATTGAATGAAGTACCATATTTAAATATGTCTTTATTTTCCCCATAGGAACCAAACAGCTTTTGAATCACACACGTTGTAGTAACTTTTATCTGCTTGTTAGTAAATCAAATATAACAGAATATACTCGATATTAGAATACATAAATTACATGTCGTTATAACTATACAGAAGAGCCATTACATTATGACCACCTTGCTAATAACATGTAGGACCACCTTTATCCCTCAAAACTGCTAGCACCCGCCGTGGTATTGATTCCACAAGGCGCTAATAGGTAGTCTGAGGTATCTGGTACCAATCGCTCACCAGCTGGTTCTGCAATTCCCTCATATTGCTAGGAGGTAGCGTGGCAGCACGAATTTGGTTTTACAAGTAGGGTCACAAATGCTCTATTGGATTAAAGTCAGATGAATTTGAGGGCCAAGACATAACTTGAAAGTCACTGAAATGTTTCTCGAACCAATCCATGACAATTCGACCCTTATGTCATGGTGCATTATCCTGTTGGTAAACACCATCTCCCAAACTGTTGCCATGAATGGGTGAACTATGTTCAAGTAGCTTACAGACGTCAGGGATTGTTCTATGAGAATTATGGATCCTGATGTGCCCCATGAAAACATGAAAACCTGGGCGAGCCCATTGTTATACATGGAGGGTGGTCATAATCTAATGGCTCTTCGGTGTGTATAACAATGCCTTATAAAAATTAACTGCTAAGTCTAATACAATGTAACCTTTTTAAAGGAATTTAGCAGAAAACTCTCCATTCTGTACTGAAGGAAACCGAAGCTTTATCACTAAAGGAATGATTTGCAAGTGGTTGTAACGTTTTGCATAAATGCCACTGAGATGTGACAGCCATTGGTCGGATATTAGTATTATTATTCTTGCTTAATCTTGAATGAAAGTAACGCTGACGGCTCACATCGCTGGTGGAGAACAAAGAGGTCGTAAGCTTGGTCCTGGCGGGCAACTAAAGAACCAGTTTGAATATGAAGCACGTTAAATATACTGGCTAAATTATTAGAAGCAGTGTAAAATTCTATATAAAATCTTTAATTATCTGGTGATACTACAGCTTTATTGTTTTTGCACGACTTTTGTATTTAAAAAAACATGAAATGGGTCCTAATTCAAGAGATTGTTCATATACTTCCTATCCGTATTTATTTTTAACGTATTGCATCACAATGTTAACCAATTGATACATGAACATAAACAAGCGTAAACCGGCCTCAGCCGTGTACAAACAATAAGGTTGTATGGTATCACCTGATAATTAAGATTTTACATGAAATCTTATAATGCGTCGAATAATTTGGTCAGGGACTGTATCAGGCTAAAAGTTCTCCCATCGATGTGAAGTGGAAGTTAGGGGAGAAGAGTACCAATTGAGGCAATGTCTACATCGTCTAATTGGAGTAAAATGTATGGTGTTCCTGCCAAGGTCATTAAAAAATAAAGCCCTAAACACAGGGCAAACTGCTTTGTCATTTCTCATTTATAACTGGAGACTAATCTAACTTCAACTAAATAAATTGGGCAAAAACTTTGTTTTCTGAAAGGGGTTTAGCCGCGATGGCTCAGGGGATCGAGCGTTCGCCTTCCAATGAGGTGAACCGGTTTCGAATCCCGACGATGGCTGGTTGATACGAATCCGCATCCGGCTTGCACCGACCACAGTGCTGACGTGAAATATCCTCTGTGGTAGACGGATCATTGGTTTAAGTCCCCCTGCAGTCAGGCTAACCATGGGAGGTTCTCGTGGTCTTTCTCCCCATGTAACGCAAATGCGGGTTAGTTCCATCAAAAAGTTCTCCACGAAGGCAAATTTCTCCCAATACTTGAACCAGGAGTTTCCCCGTCTTCTGGATTGGGTTCAAAATTACAAGGCTATGGAGTTGAACATTAGTAGTCGTGAACCCAAAAAATTTTGTCGGCTGTTCAACGACGGATATTTATACACTTTGGGGTTATTCTATATTTCCGAACAACAAGTTAAGTTCAAAAGAATATTTCGGGAAAACTAAATGAATAAATTGTGTTCCGGACAGTGTCCTTAAAAATTAGATCCCTAAAAAGCAGGGCAAAGTGCTCGGTCATTGCTTAGTAAGAAGCTCATTTATAACTAAAGACTGGTCTAAGTTTGACTAAATAAATTTGACTTCTGTTCCCTGCAACATTTTAGTGTTACTCGATTTTTCCGAACAACAAGTTTAGTTCAAGAATGGTATTTCGTAAAAACTAAATGGAAAAAATACGTACTACTTTAGGACTTAATTTCTTATAAAGAATGAAAAAACTCCAGCAATATTGATTTAAGTACTTAGTACTTAAAATTGATCAATCTTCTTGACCTTCAATAACGTTTACTTGAAGAAATAAAGAAATTGTAGAAAAATTTTCTAAAATGAATTCCAGGCATTCAATTTTTGAAGAGGAAGTATTTAGGAAGCTGTTAAAAAACTTTCTAATCTGAAGTCCTTAGCTAAAAATAAAAATTTTTTTGTTTTACAGACAGGCACTTTAACTGAAGACAGTCTGGATATCTCCGACATAGTGCCAGCAATCAATGGAAAGTAAGAATTAATAATAAAAAATTATCAAATGTTACAAGATTTTTTCAGTCTAAGCTACTTTAGTATGTGCATTGCAATAAATTTATGAATCACTGTATTTATGTACTTGAGACAATATAGTGATAAGCGACATTTCCTCAAAGGGACATTTTATGATCAAACTGTTTGTTGATATTGCTTTTAGATAAGTATTACGGTTGCAGACCACATTTTAAAATTTTACTAAAAGCGCTTTTTTAAACGATTTGGAAATGAGACATATTGCCCAAACTCTTTTAATTATTTCACTGCTACCAAAAATGTAAGAAATCAGATCTAATCACACATTTATTAATCATTATATTTTTCTAAGCGCATTAAGAACTCGCTTATAGTCCATAATGCGTTTTAACTCTCATAATTGTAAGCATTAAAACGATAGCATAACTGTTTGTCAGCAATTGTTTTTTTTTTTTAAATTTTATTTTATTTATTTTGCTCATTTTTATTTCATTTTGTTTTATTTATTCATTTTATTTATTTATTTAGCTATTCATTCATCCATCTGTTTGTTTTATTTTTTATTTATTTATTTGTTTATTTATTTATTGACTATTATTATAAGAATGACTATCTTGTTCTGCGACTAAGAACAAGGCTAATTTATGATATACAGTGAAAGTAAGATTTAAATCTGACATCTAAAAAAACAAAGACAAGTTCTAACCAGTGAAGAACCAAGCACCTTCCTTTTGACAAATGGTAAAAAGTTGCTCGACATCGCCCCATGTAATTGGGCTAAAAGCAGAAACGAAGATAAAAAGCGAGAGGAAATTAAACATTTCAATCCAAACATACAAATTTTATTGTTGATAGTATTACTGCAAAATATGGATATATTATAGTCAAAAATTTAATTTTTTTACGCTAAATGAAAGCACAAGACGAGGCGATTGGGCCAATCGTTTCGGATGTTATGATGGTTTTATGTATAAAAATACAATATTTACATTTTACATCTGCATTTGCTATCTAGATTAATAAAGTAATATTTCCTATTTTTGAATTGGATAAAAAAAGACCAAACATAAACACGAGTGAGTAGGACTAACTGTTCAGAAGTTGAGAGGATTTTATGTATTAAAAAATAATATTTTTGATTTGTACTTATTTGAACTTTTGACATTGCTATTCAGTAGCTTTTAGCAAGTGAGTCATTATTTCTTGTGTATCAAGGATTTAATGTTATATACTTTATGTTTTGAAATTAATCGCAATTATTTACAGGTTCGGAGAAGTCTTGAATCGTTTAGGAATTTCAGCACCGCAACTAGAGAAAGCTTTTGCATGCTGCCATTCTTTATCAAATATAAATGATAAATTAACTGGATATGACCTAGACATCAAAATGTTCAAATCGATAGACTGGGTAGGAATTCTTTAAGATTAAAATTATACATAATATGCTTTTCATTCGAATTCTTAACTTGTATTTACTCTTTAAAAATTTATTTACATTTTCAAAACTAATTTAGAAACTGATATGCAATGTTCTATAGCAACGTCATTTTATTTAAAATTTAAGAAAAAAACTTTATCAAGTAAAGTCTAGCAATAGTATCGACGTTACAAAACTGAATGGTATAAGTCACATTTTTCAGAAGCTTACATTTTTACATAAAATTGTCTTTTTGTATTTTTTTTCAATAAAGCACTTTGCAAGTTATCGACAGTTTCACTAGAAAACAATGCATTACAGAGAAACTTCTTATTAAAAGCAAAAACATTATTATTTATTAAAAAAGGAATTATTGAAAATCAATTAAAGCATTCTTGCAACAGCCCATTTCGGGTCAGAATGGTTGAGGAAGTTAAAGCTTCTAAATTTCGTGATCATTGCTTATTATGGTTGTAATGTGGTCGGTATTGCGCACCGTCCACCATTACTTCCCAGACAAGCTAGTATCCATCGCTCTAAAACTTGGTGGGCTCAACCCCTTGTCTTCACAATGACAGACGAGGCCATAAACCGCGGAGTCATGATAGATATTATTGCCTGAATGGAAATCATGATTCATTTCATTAAAAAACTCTCTTAAAACGCTCTAAAAGCAATTTGAAATGTGGCTTATAATTATGTTACTCCAACCCTTGAATTGCTTAATATTTTCTTTATTAAATAATAACCATGCATATTTTCAGGTATTAAAGGAACCAACCATTAACGATGCTGTGCCTTTTAAATTTTTGCCTGCTAGAATTGTTTTTCCTAAAATTCAGCGTTACCTATTCCAGGTAATTGCACTTTGCTACTCTAAACATATTTTAAAAATTTGTTTGTTTAAATTTTTTTTAAAGAATTTGATGAAAAAATGCTAAATTATAACTTTTTAAATGCTGAATTAGCAAATCTCTCAACCTAATTAACATTTGAAACATGTAACTTTTTTTCTTATTATAGAAAAGTAAAGAAATCTCTTGTTATAGCATTTCATTTTATCTCAGTTAGATTATCTAATACTATTGTGATTTAAAAACTCTCGAAATGGTAGAACAAAACTAAAAGTACCAATATTAGTTGAAAATTATTTTGTCAACAAAATTCTCTCCTCCGATTAACGTACTTAAGTTAAAGTTTTTTCTATTCATCAAAACATTACACTAAAGTTTTTTTTTTTTTTATCAAACTGAACTCTGTGCGAGGTCAACAAAAAGGCGATTTACACTGTAGGATTGAGAATGAAAAATCACATTTAGAGAATTACGATGCGTTTGAGACCTTATTTGTTGACAGCTTTGATGAAAATAGGTGAATAATAACTGCAATGAGCGAAATGCGCTTTACCGTGGGAGCAAACCCCATGAGTTATCTCACATTATTTAAAGTGGTTTTCGAAGCATTGTTTCAAGCAAATGCCGCAAAACACTCAAATAATAATCTTCTTTGTCAGTTGTGAATTCATAGTGGGAAAGTCCTTGTAAATTCATGAAGTAAAATCATTAATAGTAGCAATCGCGTCGTTAGGAATATTATTGACAGTCATTATGAATTCATACTGAACTGTGGTCACATCATCCTATTAAAAATAAAATGGTGATAAAAGAATTATGATATTTTTTGCCTATATTTAAATAAAACGAGACATTTTAACTACCCAGGTAATGTAACAAGAATTAAAGTAATGAAGTATAGTTTTCAAACTGACATTGATATTTTTATGCTAGAGTGAAATCAAGAAAATAAATATTTTGATAGCTTTAAAATAAATAAAAAAAAAATACTTGCTTTTTTGGTTTTAAGTAAATTGGCTGCTGCATTTTATTTTAATTTTTAGTTGAACGCTGCGATCACTGAATGCACAGCACTACAATAAAAAATAAGTAATAAAAATAATATTAAAAAAAAACAATCAACATACCTTGTTTTCAGTCTTGCTTAACCTTAGAAGCGCCATTTACTGGATTGCTGAGCTGCTTTTAAATTAAAGTCATAAATTCAAGTTTCATCACCGTTATTCATGGGTTTTAAAAAGTAATTACCTTGTGAGAGCATCTCTTTAGCCACTTGAACACATTGTTGTTGTAGGAAAAAATTCGAAGTTCTTGCAACTATTCGAAATGCGATGTATCGCCACCTTAAATTGCATGACAAGAAACAAATCATATAAAAATTTGTTCAATAAAGTACATTATTCTTCAGCAACAATCCCCAAGTATTAATTCTTCGATATTATCGATATATTGATCATTAATCGACCATTGATCATCTTCGGTGAATTTACTACCACTTTAGAACTTTTCACTACTAATCAAAAGCAGTTATTTTTGATGAATAATCATCTTTAGAATTTATTGTACACTTAGAACGTCATGGTAGCAGAAATCTCATTGCGAAAACACAATTTAATGCATATTCTTTGATAAATAACATTCTCCATTTGGAAAAATCGACACACGGAAAATTATTTCGTGGATGGTTAAACAGATCACTGACCATTTTTTAGGAATTTTGTACCACCTTAGAATTTTTCATGCTTATCAAATGTTATTTTTGATAAAAACAATCTTCTTTGAAAGCTCTTTGCGCATTAGAATGCCTTTGTAGCTGAAATCTCATTCGGAAACACAATTTAATGCAAGATCTTTGATAAATAACAATCGCTTTTTCAGAAAATCGGCACAATAAAAATTTTTCTAAAAGAAATTTAAAACTAATTTACTTTCAGACGATAAAATTAAATACATTTCTGACTGTTTCCAAATATTTTTGTAAAGAAGTCGTAAAAATGTTAGATAAAAATTTGCAGACGATATCTAAATCTTCTTCACAGTAGTATTTATTATTATCAATTATTTTATATTTACTTTAAAATTATGCTTTTGAAAGCAATTCACCAAAAAATAAGTTTCAAAATTTTTCAAATATTTTTTATTTATTTTCACATTAATTCGCGATCGCAACGAACTATAGGGGGCGTTGTTGTATGAGACGCTTACCTGCGATTTCTATATGAACCGTCATTCAGTTACTCTGGAGACGTCGTTAATGTAGCGTGTAGCATTGCAACGTTCCTTCTTTAATGTGGCTTATTAAATTTAAAAAAGAAAAATGCTTGATCTTCTTTCTTGTACAACCGAAAACAAAATGGTATCTCTTTTTATTAGAGAAGGAATATCCAAAACACATCGGAAAAATATTTGTACATTAACAGAAAAAAATATGTATATTCTTATAAGAGTTAAAACCTAATGCCCGAGAAATAGTATTACTAAATTTAATGATATAACATGAAAGGCCCATTTAAACTTTACATTCTATAGTTTTAAGAATCATATTACTTCAAAAATTAAAATGAACAAAAAGTATACATAAGCCTCATAATTTTATGAAATTTAATTTTGTAAACAAAGTTTTTTGACAACAATTTTTATCAAAAAATTTCAAGTTTCAATAAAAATCATTATTTAGAAACTAAGAAACGTAAAATAAAGAATGCTGACGAAACAAAAAAAAAAAAACAATTCTTTTTTGTCGCCATTTTTAGTGCTACGAAAATTCGTCTTTGGGATTTGCCAAAAACAAAACAAGATGCAATTTTATTTTTTCAGGAGGGAAATATTTTACCGAAAAAACGAAAATGTACCAATTCCCACAACATAAAACTTTATCTTGGTAAACGTACGTTTTGGAAATGTTATTTCATTTGGAATCTTATTTATCAGAGTTCATATGGCGATATGATTGTTTTGAATCTATGCTAAACTCTATATCGGCTCATTTTCCACCGAAATCCGATTGACTATTTTGATTTTAAATAAAGTGTTTTATTTTATGAATTGTCGCAAAAATTTTAAGTGTAGATTGGCGGCACTTAAAAACCGCCAAATCTGTAGCGGCGGTGGCGTTAATACGTAAGTACCGAATTTTTATTCCATACTTTTCTGAATCATATTACTTCAAACATTGGAATATACAAGAAGTATACATAAACACATAATGTTATACCATTTAATTTTTCAAAAAAAGTATTTTGAGAACAATTTTTATCAAAAAATTATAAACTAAAAAACGGAAAATAAAGAATTCTTAGGATAAAAAAAACGATTTTAAGAATTCTTAACATTGAAATAAAAACTTTCATATTGTTTCTTTTTTTATTATTCTTATAGTTCTTAATCAGACGTAAAAAACCATTCTGTAGAGAACCATCATCAAATGAAAAAAAAATATTTACAAGCAAATTTTTTATTGTAAAAATCATTGCACTTACCTGATTTATGATTCCCGGAGAATTCCAAAATGATAAGTTCCTTGTTTGAAAACTTTATTCTCAAATAATAGATACATAGTTTATACCTTCATTACTTTTAGATAACATACTACACAGCAAAATTTTATAATTGATATGAATTTGAATATGTAGCTAAAAACAGAATAGCTGAATTCTAGTTGAACTTATTCTTTCAAAACTAAAAAATACTTACCAAGAAAACGATTAAAATTAATTAAGAATCAGCACAAATGGCACTATTTCAAGTAACTTGGATAATTTTTTATTGTTGTTTTCCGAATTATATGGATACAGAAATATATACTATTCTATAACGAAGAAGAATATGCTATAACTATTACAATTCTGTATGTTCTGAATTCATATTTATTCACTGGAATGACGAAAGCAATGTTGACTTCACTTTAATTCGTAATGAATTGAAGACAGAAGAAATGCATTTTACCTTAATACACACATCTGTAACAGTATCCGAAATCGGAAGTCATCAGTTGCAAGTTTGTTGATAATAGAAATTAAAAATTATTGAGGAATTTTTCTTCAAATGTTTGGCGTGTTCTGTTCCTGAAAGATTTACTAATATTCTGGAGATTTTTTTCAAGTTCTTCGGCCTTTTCCTTAGGGAAATTTTGTTTCTTATTTGCTGCTAAAAAATGGCGTCTGATTCAGTCAATGACTTTGATGGAACTAAATGAAAACGTGATAAATTAATGTCTGATATTTACAGGCTCCCGCTAGACGGCGTACTCGAGCGTTGCGATCGCGAATTGATAGTTTTATTTTAATCGATGTTGGGAAAAGAAGAAAAATTCCAGGAGTTCGTTAGCGAGAATGATTGTTAGCATGACTTTTTGCTCTATATATGAATAAAAAGGGCCAATTTTTATTATCTTAACTACTGGAAATTTTGAAAATAATTTTAACTACACTACCCTACAATAATGGAAGAGAAACTTCCAGTTTTTGGCATTTTTTTTAAAATTTCTCAAGAAATACTTAAATGATTTTTCGTAACTTTAGAGGTGTTTAGCTCATGAGATTTTTCATACTTAGCTATAAGATTTAAGGCTTTCAGAGGATTAGAAGACCTACAATAATTATGAAAGAAAGCAAGTATTTTTGAACTTCCTATGTCAAAAAATCAAGAAAAAAATTTGTAACTTGTATCGATTACTTTAGTTGTTCTTTTAATAACTGCATAAAGTTTCGTAAACCTAGAATAAATATTTAGGAGAGATGTACATTTTTATAAAAAGTTATATTTTTGAATTACCTTTCCTTTGCTACAACTTCCTAAATATTCCTTGGAATTAAGCAATATTTTTGGATAAATTCATAATTAATTATAAAATTGTTGATTTAAAATTTAAAAAAAAATTTGTTAAGAACTACTCAAATTATGAGTATTTAAGCTAGTTCTGTTATACTGCTTATGCGCAGAAGAAATTTAAAAACGTTGTTTCATAATTTTGTAAGAAATCGTCTTTGGCAACTAATGACAAAATCTTTATTTAAATATCTTAAAAATTTAAAAAGTTTCAATCAATTTTCTAAGTAGTTCTTGCCCTTTTTAGCAGAAAGTTCAAAACGATATGAGGTTACCCACAAATTTCATCTTGCACTATTAACCAAGTTTATTAAAAATTGGGGGATCAGCCCCCATAAAAGTATGTTTTCTTTTGCATGTTTTCTTTCTCTATGCCATCAAAGTCAAGTTTCTAGATGATTATCGTAAAGTATTATCATTTGTTATTAAATTTACTCTTATGATACAAAATAAAATTTTTGAAAAATCCCTGATCGTTTGGAGCGTTCTTTTGAAAAGTACAAATACTATTCAAATAAATAAAGACATTCAAATAATTTTTTTTATTAGTTACCAAATACGATTCACTTCAAAATCATGAAAAAACTTTTAGAAATTTTTTCAGCGCATGCGCAGTAAAAAGGAACTAGCTTAAATACTCACAACTTGCTCAGTTTTTAACAAATTTTTTAAAAATTTTAAATCGACAATTTTGTAATTAATCTTAAATTGCTCCAAAAATTTTGCTTAATTCCATGGAGCATCTATAAAGTTATAATGAAGAAAAGTAGATGAAATCTTTGGAAGAAGAACTGATGGATAAATATTTTTTGCGAAGTTGAAAACACCAATTTAGATGCAATCAAAATTGCAATCAATATATATATATATATATATATATATATTAATCT